TTTAAGTGAAGGTAAAGACCCGACAAACAAATCTATCACGGACGCACGGGCATAAGGGCGGAGGGACGGACAGAGTAGTTATATCCTCCACGGACTTTTGTACGTTGGGAGAAGAGGTTTGGGGGTAGGGGGTAGAGAGGGGAGAGGTGGGAGAATTGTCAATGGAGAAAGACCTGAATCCTGATATACAAGGAAGCAATTTGATGCTTGGATTGAGATATATATGAAACACACACACACACAAACAAACAAAACAAGCATTCTATCTTTCTATCTTTCTATCTATCTATCTATCTGATCTTCAGAGTAATTTACTGGCAATGTTGCCATGATTAAACACGAACAAAATCACACAACACAAATAGTAGTATTAAGTAATTTTCATGTGTGTGTGTGTGTGTGTGCGTGCGGAAAGAATACGTTCATAGCGTGTCTGTGGCCAGCCAACTCCCCAGAAAAAATCAATCGATGTCTTGCTAACTCTGACCCCCAAACTGACTTTTAAACCTATGTAATAATTCAGATGTGTATTAGGGTACCACATACACACACACACACACACACCAGCTGTAAACCTAAGACATGACTCTTTAATCTCAATTTCAAGGCCATAAAACTGACTCGCCAACCTTGTGTATACACAGTCAGCTGGGAAACGTACTCACACGCACGTCCTTGGCAAGACTTGTTTACTGCCCTCAATTAAAACGGAAGTTATTTAATAAGCTGAATATCAAACTCCTGTGCCCAAATAATATACTGTGTGTGTGTGTGTGTGTGTGTGTGTACAAGAATGTTCCACACTTGGTATCCCACTTCCCGGCACCGTACTGTCTCTCACGAGGTGAGTACAGACTGTACTCAGTCTGTACTCACCTCTGAAGATGTGAATTACACGAAAGCGCTTGGGAACTTCGTGTTTTCTTCTTTCCTTGTGGTTATCAGCATATATATATATATATATATATATATATATATATATATATATATATATATATATATATATATATATATATATATATATATATATATATATATATATATATGAAGCCAGCGCTAAGATACCCCATCCACCAATCACAGTCAACAAGGAACCCATACAATACTCCAACGAAAGCTCACACTAACAAGAGCAGGCATAGCAAAACACATAACACAAAGTAAAACGCTTCCTCAATCACAGCTCACAAAGCTACGAAGATTTAGCAAAATGGACATCAACATTCTTTTACACCTATTCAAAGCACTTGTCCGCCCCCACCTGAAGTACCCACCAATACCACTCAGCACGATCAACAAAACCAACCAACTTAAACTTCAAGCAATGTAAAAAAAGCTATCCGGAGAGCAGCAAAGCAACTCCCTCCATACACCACCAAAATACAAGAACTTCACGAACTATACAATATCGAACCACTGAATACACGTACACATAGCCAAGCTCAGAGAGTTTGGAGCAAATTTGAAGAGCTGGAGGACCCAATCTTCTCCCAGTTAAAAGAAGAAGAAACCACAAGAACACACAGCTGGTGGCCCAAGAGCCTCCATGCTAACATAGAAGAACAAGACCCACTATATGAACAAATAACACCACCATTTAACAAACATAAATTAACAACCATTACACTAATGAATGTTTAGCTTGCTTAGCTCCCTTCCCCCCCCCCCCCCCCCCCTGCCTCCCTTGAGCTGTGTGTGGCCACCAACCCAACCAATCACCTCGACTCAGCCCACCTGCTATCACTCCCGACTACTTTACTTCCCGTTTCTATGCTTTCCTTCTCTCTCTCCTCTCCTCTCCCATGGCAGTCACTTGCCACTCTACTTCATCATCATCATATACCTCCATCACTCGGCGGCGCCTTTATCTACTGTAGGTGTGTGTGTGACGCCTGTCAGCCCGCTCCGGTACCCCGCGTACCCAAATGTCTAAAGGTACAATGGATTGATTGGAATATTCATATCTTAAATATGTTTTTTTAGGTTGTCGAGTACGGTGATTCTCTCCTTTAAACACCTTTAATTTATTGGTTTTCGCCAGGAGAATACGTTAGAGGTGACGACCCTGGTAAACACACACACACACAGGTAGTAATAGTCCTCGTTGGTATATACCAGATTTGTTTAAGCTCAGTCCGTATATTAATAAACGTTGTAGTTAATTGTGATAAGGTTCTTTTATTTACAAAACTCTAACACATTTATTAGTATCCATTTGTTATGTTTCTCTGTGTGCTTGAAGGAAAAAACACTGAAATCCTTAGAAAAATAAACATGCTTCCTTAGAAGAGATGCAGTAGTGAGTTAAACAACAATTTGAGGAGCCACAGCGAGCAACTCAACCCGATAACTAATTTTTAAAAACATATTTGACATATTCTTAAACATGTTTAAGAAAAAAAACACTGGACTCATTGTGCAAGATTTATACATTAAAATACTGAGGCGAGAAGAACCGACATTTTTCTTTACAATAACAAGCCATCACGTTACGAGGCAATGGTCATCAACCCGGGATATGACCAGCAGAGCTGACTTTTCTTTTTAATGGGGGTGAGACAACCCTGGCAGAGACCACCGACCTACATCAGGGCCGAGGGGGGGGGGTAAAAGAGGAAATAAATTACGTCATAAACAGATACAGAAAAGGAAAAAATAATATAACTGATCAAGAGCGAAAACGATATACATTATATGTTGTGTTTTCAAGGTAAGAGAAAATATGGAGAACCTGCAATTGTATGCAAATGAGGCAGAAAGTTAGATCAGCAACCCGAGACTTGGTCACACATTTTATGATATATGGCAGCAGGGTCTACCATTAGAAAACACATTATGCTTCCAATATCTTCCTAGGCGGTAGTACCTCCCTGTTTGATAATAGCTAGTTCCTCTCTCGCACCTTGGGCCAAGCTTAGATACACCTGACTCACCTCCAAGTGCTGTAGTTATCACACCAAGGATGAGTTGAGAGTAAAGGAGTAAAGACTTCAATGATGCTTAATGATAAACAAAGAGTATACTGCCGCCTGAAGGTGACATATTTGGTCAGTCATGGTAATGAAACAACACACACACACACACACACACACACACACACACACACACACACACACACACACACAACGTTAAATCAACACTATCCGTCTTCACTGTCTAGATCCCATCCTTAATACCAGCAACGGAGATTTGTGTTTAAGAAGATCTCCTGGATAAAGCAGCTGTGTTAGTAATAGGGGTGGTAGGGGTGGTAGGGGTGGTGGTGGTGGTGGTGGTGTGGTAGGGGTAGGTGGTGGTGGTGGTGGTAGGGTGGTTGGTAGGGGTGGTGGGTTGGTTATAAGTGGTAGTATTAGTAATGGTGGTGACGGTGTTAGTGGTAGCGGCGGTGGTGGTGGTGGAAGAGGTAGTGTTGGTGGTGGTGGTAGTGGTTGTGGTAGGGGTGGTGGTTGGTTATAAGTGGTAGTATTAGTAATGGTGGTGACGGTGTTAGTGGTAGCGGTGGTGGAAGAGGTAGTGTTGGTAGTGGTAAAGGTGGTGGTGGTGGTGGTAGTACTGGTAATGGTGGTGGTGGTGGTGGTTTTAGTGGTAGTGGTTTTAGTGGTAGTGGTGGTTAGTTGGTTGGTTATATGTGGTGGTAGTAGTAGTAATAGTAGTGGTGATGGTGGTATTGGTGGCTGCTATGATGCTGGTGGTGGTAGTGGCGGCACTGGAGGGCGGTATTCTGCCAGGACTGTTATCATGTGACGTCTCAGGGGCTTGGTAAGGGAACCCCGAGACAGAGGAGAGCTGGAGGGGGAAGCCTACGTGACTGGAACACCAAGCAGATATTTGGGAGGCAAATCGGCAAGAGGATTCCTTCTTCTTTCAGCCATACAGATTCTGAAATGCTACGACTCTCTCTCTCTCTCTCTCTCTCGCTTGGGTGGGTGGAAGGTAATGGGAATAAAGATGGTAAACAGTGACAATGATTAATGCTGAAAAATATTGATATTATTCAAGAACTACTTTTAAAACTGTTATTACTACTTTTACTCCTATTATCATTATTATTATTATTATTATTATTATTATTATTATTATTATTATTATTATTATTATTATTACAATATTTAATAATAATAATAATAATAATAATAAAGAATGAGAGAGAGAGAGAGAGAGAGAGAGAGAGAGAGAGAGAGAGAGAGAGAGAGAGAGAGAGAGAGAGAGAGAGAGAGAGAGAGAGATTCTCCCATGAATAGCAAATCGGTGTTTTTTCTAATTCCACTTTGATCTATGACTGTGACTTTGTGGCTCCTCGCCCTTGAGCGCTGGATGAGGATATACTCTTCTCCTCTCACCCTTGAGCGCTAAATAAGAATATAATCGTCTCACCCCACCCTTAAGTTGTGGTTTAGAATATCCACGTTCGACCTCGCCCTTGAGCGCGATGATAAAGGCTGGGGGGTGAGGTGGTTAAGGTTCCGGAGACTTTTAACTGTTATCGACCCAGGGTGAGGGCGAGGAGGTGTTGGCCTCGTGACGGGAGGTACCTCAAGCTAGTCTTCCCTGTGCCTCTCAACCCGCTCGACCTCCTACCGCTCTGTGGTATCACACACACACACACACTTCTATGACCTCGACAACAAAATACTTAAAACAAATTAACTTTCTATTTAATCCGCCGCCATGTTCTCTCTCTCTCTCTCATCTCGGTTTACTCTCAATATAAGCAGTGTCTGCCTCCCCCTGCCTCACATGGTATAATGCTTCACGACCTCTCAGGGTACACAGTTCACTGCCTCTCGAGAAACAATTTTTCCACACACACACACACACTCACACACACACACACACATGCTAGAATATTACTGCATGTTGATAATACTCGTATTTGTAAATTCCCCTCGAATACCTCGATATTCACCAAAAATACACTATGATGAAATATTTATTGGGTAAAATTCATTGTGAGTTAATCTTTTTGTACTGCGTATCACTAATCTTTCTTAATATTCCAGTGTAATAAAGAAAAAAAGTTTGACAAACACACACACACACAGGCAGGTTTTATGTGAACAACTAAAAGCGTCAGTCAGAGCCGGGGGCCGAGCCGAGTACACCAGATTATGTTAAGTACTGTTGTTAATCTCTTAGTTCAATACTCCTCCCACTCTCGGCTCTCCTGCCTGCTGGTATACCCACTATCTCTCTGTCTCTCATTTGGTGCTGGTGACCTACGTAGACCTCTATCTACTCGCCTTGTCATTTGATCCCCATGCACCTGACCTCTGGATGACCTTCTGTGGCGTGTAATCTGGGTTGATCTTAACCTATGATTGTGTCTTCAATGGCCGATCTACTACAACTACTAACCCTGGTGACCTTCGCATGACCTCGATCAACGGGTGAACTCCACGTGCCCTTGTGACCTCTTTGACGACCCTATATCTGACCTCCTGGCTCTCGGGGAACGATGGGTAATACCGAAAGCAGTGTGACGTCAGGAGTGAAGGCTCAGGCCAATTCTGTGGTTGAGATCTACAGTCTGGTCGACCTCAATGGTGAGTACAACCACACTTTTGTTTTGAGATCACATGAAGATTAACCAGCCAAACACTAAACCAACTTAACCTAACTTTACTACATTAACACAAACCTAACCTAACCTTACCATCTTAAAACAAGAGTAGCCTAACCTAACTTAGCCTACCCTAATCTTACCATCTTAGCACAAAAGTAGCCTAATCTATCCTAACCTAACCTAACTTAAATCAACCTAAACTAACCTAATCTAACTTAACCACCACAAAACCTAACCTAAATTAACCTAACCTATCTTAACTTCTAGGTAACTTAAGGATAATTAATTATTAGGCTAAATAAACAGGGGGGGGGGAGGGGGGTAATCTTCACATGATCCTTCCTTTGTACTTCTAAAAAATAATAAAAAATAAAACACAAATATTCCATAAACCAATAAAAACAAAAATAACACCAAGACCCAATAAGTAACTCAATCAGTAACCAATCCCCTACTCCCAGACCACTCAATTTACTAATCAGACACTCGCTCAGTATGAACACCGTAATGTGGGTCAATTATTCACTTATATAGGGTAAGGCCATCATCTAACAGCACCACCAATCAATCCCATCAATTATGTATACCCGTTAATGAGTTCAGTAATCATCCTCCACCTTGTTTACACAGGGCAGAGGGAGCGGGAAGGGGACTCTAAATACACATACATACATACATACATACATACATACATACATACATACATACCATATATATACATACATACATACCATACATACATATACACATGCATATAGACACATACATACGCATACAGTCACTCAAAACACACACACACACACACACACACACACACACACACACAAAAGCCCAGGTATGCTGAGGACAGTGCCTCTAATTGCGCTCCGACTTATACTAATTCAGACTAATTATATTTATTTTCTCCTGCAACTTTTCCTCTCTTTTTTTTTCTTTTAAATGTTGAAATTCTTTTAATCATTTCTGTGAGAAGTTTTTTAACACTGGTACTGAAACGGCGTAATAAAAGTCATAAGAACTTGGCTTAGCACTAAATTTCAACTGAATATAAAATATGAAATATAAATGAAAGTTAATATACATAATTTATACATATGCAGAATACATTGCTTCATTGCTTCGAAAATTGTGTCGGACTATTTATATTATTATGTATTAAGCTTCTGAAATTCTTACATCTATGACTCCCCTGATCAGTTCATTTTGAAGGCGTTCGAGGATATACCGCGTGGTCGACTTAAGTAAATGCACTCATACAAGCACGACGCAGAGACTTAGACTGGAAACTAGAAGACAGGAAAAAACACCTGGAACACATTTAGACCGGAAACTGGAAAGCGGGGAAAACTGTAACACATTTAGACTGGAAACTGGAAGGTGGTGGAAAAAGAAAACAAAACCTGGAACACACTTACTGGAAACTGGAAGGTGGGGATAAAAAAATCCTTGAACAAACTTACTGGACTCAAAACGCAATAAAAAATCCGAATGCACACAAATTAAAAATGGCGAATTAATTAACTTCAAAGTCATATGACGAAATATGCGTATTGGAGTCGTCTCAACACTAACTATGAAATATTAAAATGTTCAGCGCCTGTTTTAGTCCTCGTAGATAACCCGAGAGTACTTTAAACCCTTGAGTACGATGACTTGATTACAGTTATAACCCTCGTAGATAACCTGATAGTACTTAAAATCCCTTGAGTACGATGACTTGATTACAGTTATAACCCTCGTAGATAACCCGAGAGTACTTAAAACCCTTGAGTACGATGACTTGATTACAGTTATAACCCTCGTAGATAACCTGAGAGTACTAAAATCCCATGAGTACGATGACTTGATTAGTTATAACCCTCGTAGGTAACCTGAGAGTACTAAAATCCCTTGAGCACGATGACTTGATTGGTTATAACCCTCATAGATAACCTGATAGTACTAAAATCCCTTGAGCACGATGACTTGATTAGTTATAACCCTCGTAGGTAACCTGAGAGTACTAAAATCCCTTGAGCACGATGACTTGATTGGTTATAACCCTAATAGATAACCTGATAGTACTAAAATCCCTTGAGCACGATGACTTGATTGGTTATAACCCTAATAGATAACCTGAGAGTACTAAAATCCCTTGAGCACGATGACTTGATTACAGTTATAACCCTCGTAGATAACCTGATAGTACTTAAAATCCCTTGAGTACGATGACTTGATTACAGTTATAACCCTCGTAGATAACCCGAGAGTACTTAAAACCCTTGAGTACGATGACTTGATTACAGTTATAACCCTCGTAGATAACCTGAGAGTACTAAAATCCCATGAGTACGATGACTTGATTAGTTATAACCCTCGTAGGTAACCTGAGAGTACTAAAATCCCTTGAGCACGATGACTTGATTGGTTATAACCCTCATAGATAACCTGATAGTACTAAAATCCCTTGAGCACGATGACTTGATTAGTTATAACCCTCGTAGGTAACCTGAGAGTACTAAAATCCCTTGAGCACGATGACTTGATTGGTTATAACCCTCGTAGATAACCTGATAGTACTTAAAATCCCTTGAGTACGATGACAAAATTCCACTAAAAAATCGGAACAAAATTCACAATAACAAGAATGTCATCTTGAGAAAATAACAACAACAACCAACAATCATAAAGATGAAGAACAAAAACAAACAAAACACAAAATAAAAAAAAATAAAAAAATAAAAATAAAAAAACAGACCAACAAACACAAAAAAACAAGAAAAACAGACACAAACAATACCCAAACACCCATTAAAACAACACAACCTTGGATGTTCATTAACTTCTTTCATAGATAAAAAAAAAAAAAATAGAAAAAACTATAAAAAAAATCAGGAAACTCTAGAAATATTAAAAACTAATAAAAACACACAAGTAACATCCATGACACTAAAGCCCCAAAAAATATATATATAATTTTTACTGAGACGATGAAGAATATATTATATAATACAATTTCATATAACTCTCTATAATTATAATACTATACATAATTACATATACAGGGGTATACATATTTAACAGAGCTTTATATATAAAATAATTAAATTCAACACAACTTCATTAACAGCAGAGACATAAAGGTATTAATATGGCTAATGGCTTATGACTGAAAATGACAAAATCAACGAGTATTAACATAGCTTATGACTGAAAAAGACAAAATAAACGAATATTAACATGACTTATGACTGAAAATGACAAAATCAACAAATATTTACATGACTTATGACTGAAAATGACAAAATAAAAGACATTACTTTTATACCTATAATTTTTACCAACTTTTGCGATTTTTTTTACGAAGAATAAAACTCATAATCTCCCCAACACCTCTGAACTTAACCAAGAAATAACGAAAAATCTCTTAAGTTGTCAAGTTCACACGAGGAATATATAATGAGGTGAGAGAGACTACAACAAATCGGAATATTTTTTAAGTCAAAGTTCAGCGAGGAAGAAGAGGAAGACAACAACAACAACAACAACAACAACAACAACAGCAACAACAACAACAACAACAATAATAATAATAATAATAATAATAATAATAATAATAAACTACACCACAATGACCATCAAACCACACAGAGACTATACCTTAACTATACCATCCCCAGTTAAGATAAAATATTAAAAGAACGTAATTCTTTTTTTTCAGAATCCATCAACTCTAAAGCGTAATTATAAAAAAAAAACTACAGTAAGACTTATTTTTTAATGCGAGATTTCTAAGTCTTTTTTTACGCTTTCAGGGTTTTGTAATTTTTTTTAAAATGATTCGAATATTACGTAAATTTAATGTGTCAAGGTAAAATAGATCTAAAAGTTGATAACAGGGTCAATGCTGGAACCAACACACACACACACACACACACACACACACACACACACACACACACACACACACACACTGAACCAACAATTTAACAACGAACCAATGCGAGGAATAAAATAGAAACTCACCCGGAATTACCAATGGCACAGAAGCCTCGCCTACCTGAGCTGTGGCGCTGAACATATAGACAGGGTGGAGAATAATAAATAATTTTCTTTGTTTCTCGTTAATGCGGCTTCTGCATCACCCTGTGTTCTCCCTCTTTCAATATACACAAACTATCGGCTTTCGTTGACAATTAATAACTCCAGTAAACACACTTACCTAATTAAATTTCATCATTTTTTTAATTAGAAATATGATGAAGCTAAAAGAAAAATGGGTGATAGCGCGCCATTATAGTTCCAATTATCGATATAGATATTACATAAATACCTACTCATTAAGAGAGGAAAATGATAATATAGGAGAAAAAAATTATCCTGGTGGGATGATCCAAAAAAAACAATGTAACTAAGCGCATCCGTCCAGCCTTGAGGTGATAGGTAAAGGTCCAGTGTGAGATGAAATTACGTAATGGAATACTCTTAAAGATTACAAATACCTCTTAGTACTCTTTAGACTCTTGAGTACTATGAGTTAACCCTTTGAGTAAGACGATTTAACCCCTTAGTACGATAATGTCTTCGTTCTCGAGGGTATACGTCTTTATATTCAGAGGTTAAAGAAAACGCATGTGTGTGTGTGTGTGTGTTTAAAAAATGAGCGTCTACGTCTTAAAAATCTTACCAATAAAGTTAATGACAAAAATAAGGAAAAAGATCATATGTGTTTTAGCTAATAACATCTATTACCTGGACACATATAATACCAGGTACCCGATCATCAGATTACCAATAACATGAAAGGCTTTTTTCGCCCCCATCAATAATCTCGTTTAATATTGTTTTTATACGTATATATATATAAAAGAGGTATGGCTCATATAACATAAAGTCATTCGGATAGTTCCTGTCAATATTCTACAAATCAATATCATTTAGTTGTATAAATTATCAGCAAGGAATCAGAGTATGTACTGTAGAGTCACCGAGAAAACTATCACTACTTGGGGTGATCGATGAATTTCAGAATGAACACTACAACTCCTGTTGTCTCGGTAGGGTTGTCAAAATCCTTCGTCTGCTGTGTCATATTTAAAAAAAAATTGTATAGATAGTTTTTTTGAGTAACTGTACATTATATATATATATATATATATATATATATATATATGTGTGTGAGTGTGTGTGTGTGGTATAATAATTCGTATATAGTTGTTATCCCTGACTGATAATAAAAACGACCATAATATACAAATTCTGTAAAACCTCCCACGTTAAGAAAATATTTTATATAACTAACACTATTAAAGGATGTAAAACTCTAATTCGTTATGAAATTACACAAAAAATAATAATTGTAATCAAAGTCGTCTCACACAAGAAATAATCAACTAAAACCTATTTCCATCTTTTTTAATCTAACTTAATGAAACTATTTCTATATACCCCGAGAATTATAAATTATCTTCCCGATTTTAATTATTATGGAAAGACGATTAAAGCTTTGTTTCCCTCTACTGTAATGTCAGAGAGTGAGTTTTTGTTCCACCAATGACAATAACTTTGGAAGATCTAGAAGGAAAGTTTACGTGAGATGTATCCAGGGACACAGAATATTGCCTTGATATCTGTATAACCGCAAAAGAAACTCCTATTGAATTTCTAAACCTTGGAAATACAAGAAATACAGGTATATATTATATTGCCTGACTATAAACACACACACACATCCTCCTCTCCTTCCCCACATAAGCTGTACATAATAAAACTGTCATCACCAACTACCCAGAGAGATCATGATGCGACATAAACATTATAAACTGGTGGTTCCCTCAAGGCCAGATACCATATACCCTGTCATTGAGTATTAAGTTATTTCCCAGCCTCCTGACTCTCTCCCAATGGCCTCCTGAAGTAAACTATGTTGTTCCCGGGTCATAATAATACACACTGGCAATTTCTTCTTCTTCTTCGACCAATCAAATATACGTAGACTCAATATTTATGAATCATTTCTAATCGTACGCTTCATTACTGAGTATATTTTCCTCTTCTCTTCTGGCAGTCGGGTTAGGTCTCCGAATCTCTTTTTATTTTCTTTATTTGTTTTTAGTTCCTGTTTGTGTTTTTGTTTTGAAGGTACATATTTAATATTTCAACTTTTAATGTTATTTTTTTTTGTCCAATTGGTCGATTACATTCAGGTGTGGAGATTGTCTCTTGTTTAATTATCAAATCCTATTTACAATATTTTTTTCGGTATAAGGTCAGAGTTCCGACTGTATTTTGTCTGTCTGCACGTCCATGTATAATGTGTGTGTGTGTGTGTGTGTGTGTGTGTGTGTGTGTGTGTGTGTGTGTGTGTGTGTGTGTGTGTGTGTATAAAAAAATGTTAGTCTCTGCAACTGTATATATCTGGTTTAACATGTTTAAATAAAACCAGATGTACCTGTATAGAGAGAGAGAGACGCATGTACAGACTCTCTCATAAATTAATTACATCAGTGTGGATAAAACTGTCACTGGCAGACTGGGCCCCCTCCCTGTTGCCAGCCCACACTGTCAGGTTCACTCTCTATCTACCTGTACCTATCAATAAACATTCATTTATTTTTCTCTATCTATCTATCTATCTATCTATCTATCTATCTATCTATCTATCTTTCTATCTATCTATCTATTTGGCTGTCTGTCTGTCTATCTATCTATCTATCTGTCTGTCTGTCTGTCTGTCTGTCTGTCTGTCTTTTTGTCTGTCTGTCTATCTGTCTGTCTGTCTGTCTATCCTTAATATAATCAATCACCATCAATAATAACAATATCAGCAACACCACGAATAACAACAAAAACAACACCACAACAACACCACCAGCAACAACAACAAAACCACCACCAGCAGCACCAACAACAACAACAATATATACTTGTTTCATATTTTGTTTACCTCTCTCCTTCACACAGGCGGCGGGGAGCTGGTAGAACTGATGAAGAAGGCCAACAAGAGTAAGGAGTACAGCGAACTGGACGAGACGATACGCTCTAAGATCCCCAAGTACGTCTATAACGGTGGCGACGGCAAGTGTCTCCCCATTCATCGTCTGGTACTGAGACGGAACAAGGAAAGACCACCAAGTAAAGAGGTAATGTGTGTGTGTGTGTGTGTGTGTGTGTGTGTGTGTGTGTAGCTACTCCACAGTGCATAATTTCTTCCACAACATTATTTTCCTTTCAGCATAATGGGCCAAGTTTCCTTGTATTTCGCCTTTCATTGCATAAATTCACAATATACGGTTCCTATCTCACCTCTTGTGGCCTCCCAGAACTCTATGTTTGGCCTCCTCCTAATCTCAACTATTGTGGCCTCCAGGGCCGGATTAAGCTTAATAGGGGCCTAAGGCACAGATCAACTTGGGGCCCCCTACCCTCAAGGTATATATATATAGCAAGAACAAAATATACCAAAATTAATCAATGATTTCATCAATATTAAGCTTCTGCAAAATAACACATTCAATGTTCATAAGAGACAGAAAATTGAGACGTTGCTAGGACATCGTTGAACGAATTCATGGTTTTATATGCTTCATCTTCGAGAATGTTTGGATTTGGGGGCCTTTAGAGTCAGGGGCCTGAAGCCAGCGCCTCAAGTGCCTCATGGTTAATCAGGCACTGGTGGCCTCCCTAAACTCTATATTTGGCCTCCACCGAATCTTACCTCTTGTGGCTTCCCTAAACTCTAACTTTTACCTCCCTTGGGATATTATCTACACCATAATGTTCAATATTTTTTCGTCTCTTACCGCAGCTGACCCACCAACACCACAACAACAGACATGATAAATAATAATACTCTTATATTCTGAAGCCTCCTCGAGTATACCTGTATAGTGTTGGTGATCATAAAGACTCTGTGTACCTGTAAAATAAATCGTTGTTCCTTGTTATACCTATACGGTTATTATATCTTGTTCTTCATCACACACACACACACACGCACACACACACATACACACACACACATACACACACACGATGGAGATTGTAAGGAATTTAATCTTCTGCCAATACATTTTTACCCCTCACATTTAAGTCTGACGCGCAATCAAGAAGAAGAGGAGAAAGAAGAAAGAGGGAGAAGGAAGAAGAGGAGAAAGAAGGAGAAGGGAGAAGGAAGAAGAAGATTAAATTGTGGAAGTGGAACTGAGAAAGAACACGTGTGAGTGATAAAGTAAAGGAGAGAGGAGGAGACAAATAAGACAAAGGGTAAATAGGAGAAGGATGAGGAGGAAATGAGAGAGACAAAACTATTTACTCGTATTTGCAAAACCTAAACAAAAATAAAATAAAATAAAAAATGAAATCCTAATTAATTATATTTTATCCCCCAGGATTCACTGTTCTAATTATACCACCGGTCTCCTCAAGGCCAGGTACACGAGGTAAAAAGTGACTAAATTAACTTTTACGGGAATGCGAGATGTCGAGATTCTGTTGACAAAAATCCTCCTTGTTTTCGGCTGAAGAAGCCATTTTTAATTTGATGGAGAGGCCACTTTGTTACAGTTGATGGAGGAGGCCACTTTGTTACGGTTGATGGAGGAGGCCACTTTGTTACGGTTGATGGAGGCCACTTTGTTACGGTTGATGAAGGAGGCCACTTTGTTACGGTTGATGGAGGATTTAAACTTGAGACCTTGTTCTGTCTTCACCACCATTTTTCAGTTTTAATTCCACGAGTCGAAATTCTGGCTACCTTAAAATTCCTCCCCTCCAAAAAAAAATAATAATAATAATAAAAAAATAAAATAAAATAAAAATAATAAAAATACATAAAAATGCACAAGCAGGAAGACTATAACCATCTCATTGAAGTCTATAGAACCAACTGAATGAACTGAGTGAACGGGAATAAATTACTATACTTGTTTGGGGGGTTTTGTTTAGCACAGTGGATGATAATATTCTCGGTAGAAACCTTTTAATTTCTTGAACTTGGTGAACCCGTATCCAATCTTTCACCCCATATAATCAACCAATCAAACGTGAATCACCTTCGTAAACTAGATATATATAAGGCTCATTTTCGTAAGACAATCTACTCTTCCTAAGCGATACACTTTCCTCGCTATTGCCCCCCCCCCACCACTCTTAGGTCTCTTATATTCTTTCCCCAGTATGATGACACCACCACCATCATCATTATCACCACCATTAACAACAACGTCGAGGGAGGTAATCGAACACTGAGCCATTCTAGGATAAAATAAATAAATAAAATACTACCCTAGGTCTCTTATTTTCTTTTCCTTTTTCATCATCATCATCATCATCATCATCATCATCATCATCATCATCATCAGCATCATCATCATCATCATCACTACTAACAACATCGTCTGGGGGCAGGGAGGGAGGGGAGGTAATCGAACAGAAAGCCATACTAATGAATAAAAAAATAGAAAGTAAAAAAAAAAAAGTGTTTATGAGATGGATGTAATAAACTAAAGTGGATAATGATTAAAACTAGAGAACCATGGAGAGACTTACAGCAGCTAGGAGATATGGAGATAATTCAATAGAGAATTTGGAGGAGTCTTACTGTACACCTACTGGGAGACTTTGGAGATAAAACACAGGAACACACAGGAAGACAATAAAAGACTGCGACACACACACACACACACACGGAGTTGCGCAGGGGATGTAAAACAGAAGGGGTCAAATCCTGTGTAAATTAAAGCCGACTGAAAACGTAACACAACAAGAGGAATAAGAACAACAGAGCGGTGGGCGGACTGTGAATAGCATATGGAGGAAAAATTGTACTGGGGGTGTTAGTTTTTTTTCGGTATGGTGGAGTGTGTGGGTGGGAGGGGGGTGAGACGGGGAGGGAAGGAGAGGGGGAGGGGAGGGGAGGGAGGAGAGGTAAGACAGGGGGAAGAAGGGAGAGGGTTTAGACGCAGTGGGAAACAGGGTAGAGGGAGAGAGGGAGGTTAGAGGCGGATGGAGAGAGGGAGGGAGGGAGAAAGGGAGGAGGGGGCAGGGAGGGTTTGTTTACATCCACCGTTGGTACTGATCCACCCCCTTGTGGGACGCCACCCTTGGTTTATTGTTTTGAGGAAACTTCTTGATTTAATGAACACTTGATGAAGGAGGATCAGGATACAAGTATGTGTGGTTATTGTGATTTAGTAATTACATCATTACAATTCTTATCATCATCATCATCATCATCATCATCATCATCATCATCATCAGTATATTATTATTATTATTATTATTATTATTATTAGTAGTAGTAGTAGTAGTAGTAGTAGTAGTAGTAGTAGTAGTAGTAATAGTCATTGTTATCATCATCATCATTTATACAATTATCGTTGTTACTACATGAATAATATATTATTCCCCCCCTTAACGACCAGCAGGGAACAAGGGGGATATTGCCATCACCCATGTGGTCTGTGTGTGTGTCATTCCTCTAAATTATGTATGTACAGAACCACAGAGAATTATAATATTGTCTAACGTTATCTGAATAGTTTGTTAAATACGTTAATTAGACCTGAAAGATCAAGAGGTTATCAACAGTGGGTTTGACGTCACGTGTGTGTGTGTGTGCGTGTGTGTGTGTGTGTGTGTGTGTGTGTGTGTGTGTGTGTGTGTGTGTGTGTGTGTGTGCGTGTGTGTGTGTGTGTGTGTGTGTGTGTGTGTGTGTGTGTGTGTGTGTGTGTGCGTGTGTGTGTGTGTGTGTGTGTGTGTGTGTGTGTGTGTGTGTGTGTGTGCGTGTGTGTGTGTGTGTGTGTGTGTGTGTGTGTGTGTGTGCGTGTGTGTGTGTGTGTGTTATAAATTGACAAATATACTTAACAGGTAAAAAAAATACATTGGAATGGAACCCCAAAACCAATGGAACCCTAACACATTCGATCTCGTCTCTCTTTACAGATCAACCCGCCCAAGCATCTGCCAGATGAGGACTCCGTGGCCGGCAAGTACCTCCCCGGCAGAATGGAACCAGACCGGAGTGAGTTGCCCTATGTGTCTTATAAGAGTTTTTTTTTTTTTAGTTTAACAAATTTATTGACAAAGCTTGGAGTACAGTTTGCCTATTCTGAGTAATTCAGTCAGATCTTGACACTGAGGGTGGTATCACTTCTCACTGCCACACAGGACAGAGGTTCATATGCAAAGGAATACATCATATTCATAAGCAGTATATATAGGTCAGAGTCGTGTGGGTGATGTTACTGTTCACTGCCATGCAAGACAAAGTTCATGATACAATAAGTCAGGTGGCCTGAAGTCTTTCACAGTGTCACATTCAATAATATAGTGTTCAAGTGTATAGTTTAAAGGTTTATCACAAAGTTTACATGCCTTATGAGAGGATGTACGGGGGGGGGGAAGACGTTGGTGATGTGTTATGGGGTTGAGAGAGTGACATGGGGGGGTGACGTTATCAGTCTGTTAGGGTAATGTGATGGTCTCTCTCTCTCTCTCTTTCTCTCTCTCTCTCTCATCAAGTACATTACAATCCTCGCTAACGTGAACTGACATGACAAATTGCTTCAGATCTTTCCACGTCAAGAATCAGTTTGACATTATACCCAGTCACCTCTACACGTTCTCCACAGAATGACAGACGATTAATCTATACTACCTTCCCACACCGTGTTCCAGCAGCGACTACCCTGATGAATATGTCACATACTCAATTAACTGCTAGCGGACAGACCTCAGTCATAGTGGTGACGTCCCTGCTGGCTTCGCTTCAGTAGATAAGCCGATTAATATGTAAAATTCACTACCGGTTGCATTAGGCAGTCAATTTGCATGTCGTATCCCACTTCGCTCCATTAAATTACATTATATAGCCAATTACCATGCAATATCCCAGTTCGCTCCATCACATAGCCAATTACCATGCAATATCCCAGTTCGCTCCATTACATAGCCAATTAGAGTGTGATATTCGCTCCATCACATAGCCAATTACCATGGAACATCCCAGTTCGCTCCATTACATAGTCAATTAGCGTGAGATATTCGCTCCATTACATAGTCAATTAGCGTGTGATATTCGCTCCATCACATAGCCAATTAGAGTGTGATCACATAGCCAATTACCATGCAACATCCCAGTTCGCTCCATTACATAGCCAATTAGAGTGTGATATTCGCTCCATCACATAGCCAATTACCATGCAACATCCCAGTTCGCTCCATTACATAGCCAATTAGCGTGTGATATCCCAGTCGGCTCCAGGTACCGCTCGATTAATGTTATTTCTGCTTGCTTGCTGTACAATTATTCCTCAGGTGAATAGTTATAATTAGGACTCAGTTATATCTCGTTTATATATCTGCTTATGCCATAATTTGCTTCTGTAATTTCTAGTTAATAATGATGAAAATAATAATAATAATAATAATAATAATAATAATAATAATAATAATAATAATAATAATAATATGAACAATAATAATAATGAAAATAATAAAAACACCAACAAAAATATTACAATAACAAAAACAAATCCACACACAAAAAAATACAATTACAGTCACAACTCACAAATATATACACGAACACCCAAAAAACACCACTATATCCTAATTATACAATAGACAAAATATCCACTACAGTATATATACAGCACAACACTTTTATATACCACATGACCTATATATTATAAGACCTTACAATATAACCTTACCACAGACAGAGCTATACCACTATTACTAAATTTGTAATAAAATGTTGAGAGATATTGAACCATGATTTAAGAGACCTTCGACATATATGGAGGAGTGGGAAGGAATATTGGAAGTGACATGAGTGAATTTTTGTTAAGAGGTTTAGTGCAAGGTGTGGGTGGGGTGTGTGTGTGTGTGTGTGTGTGTGTGTGTGTGTGTGTGTGTGTGTGTGTGTGTGTGTGTGTGTGTGAACATAAAATGGAGAATTATTTATTTTTTCCTTTCTTCTTCCTCTTAACTTTCTTCCAGTTTTCTTCTTTCTCTCTCACTTTCCTCCACCCTTTCTCTTTCCTCCATCTCCATCATTTATCCCTAACCACCACTGACACTCGTTTAACGCTTTCTCTTTGATTTCCCCTCACTATTCCCCTCTCCTTCGTCTCCTTCTACCCATGGCTATTATCATTTCTTTTTCTCATTTCCCTTTAATTACTCATCCATCCATCATCCCCTCTCTCCTACCGACTCTGTTATTTCCTCTGCGTTATTCTTTTTTTTTCTCCATTCTTCAGTACATTATTCACAGCTTTCAAAATGGGTTAGGTTAGGTTAGTGTTAGTGTTATTTCACCTTTTTATATTTTTTCTCAAAAAAAAAAAAGAGATGAAAGAAATCTAAATCTTCTATTCTGTATCAAGTAAAAAAAAGAAAAATAATAATAATAATAATAATAATACTGCATGTTTTATTTCACATTCTCCCATAAATTACTTTGCTTTGGATGAAAAAATAAATAAATAAATAAAATAAAAAAATTACCTGGTATCATTATTTTAGTTCATATAAATATATATTTACCTTTTTTCCCTTACCGCTTCATAATTTATTATATTTTTAATGTAATATACTGATTAGTTTATACTCTCTCTAAAGGCATACTGTCTACGCCTTCAAAGCGTATTAACCACGCCTTTAACGCTTATTATTCACGCCTTTAACATCCGCCATCTACGCTTATCATCCACGAGGCCCTCTACACCATCCAACCTATAACCACAACACCCTTACACATCCATCCATACTCACATCCTGCACACCACCAACTCACTCACTGTCACCCATCCGCCCTCCTTCATTCCGTCCCTCATTGTCTCCCTCCCACACTCTCCTTTCTACCTATCCTCCCTCTCTTATTCTCCATCCCTACCTCCCACCTACCTTTCCTCCCACCTCCCTTCTCTCCCTCATCCTTCAAGACTCCAACTCGTCCTTGACTCTGACATTCCATCCTTCAAAGGTCACACACACACACACACACGCACACACACACACACACACACACACACACACACACACACACACACACACACACACACACATTCTACCCCCCTTCTCCCCCACACACTCACGCAACAGGATCGCATGAAAGGCTTCAGGGCGTACAGGTAATTACATAACCGAAGCACAGGTATCTACCTATACTCCTACACCACCACCAACCTTCCCTCCCCCTTTTCCCCTTGGTGTGTGACATGTAATAAAAGGTTCACATCCGCCTCTCCTTTCTCCTTTTTCTCCTCCTCCTTTTATGCCCTTTTCCTTCTTCCATAATTGCTTCTCCCCATTTCTTCCTTCTGTTCTCTTCCCCTCACTCCTCCTCCTCCTCCTCTTCTTTTTATCCTGTTTCCCCTCTTATTCCTCATAATATTTCCTCCTGTTTCCCCTCTCCTCACTCCTCCTCTTTATCCTACATCTGCTTTCCCATTCCTCCTCTTCCATTACTCCCTCACCTCCCCTCACCTGTTATAAGCTATCTATCTACATGTCCGTCTACCTGTCATTCCATCTATCTACCTGTCTGTGTATCTCATTCTAAGTTTAGTTTGATATTTTCCTGAAACATCCCCCCCCCACCTCTCTCTCCCTCTCTCGTAATTATTTTAGTAACCTTGAGCATTTCTGTCCATTACATTAATTCCACTGACATTTATCATAACCCGTCCGTTTCTTCTCTGGATATATCAAACGTAGACTATTTTAATGCCGCTTATGTGGATACTATTATACCCTAACGACTGCTGGTTATGACGTTGGGGAAGGATCAACCAATCAGCGACCCGTATTATGATGACGCATGGAAGGAAAACACCAATCAGCTTGTTGTATAGGAGGCCACAGAGATAGCATGTTCAATCAGTGATAATATTTAACTACAACGGTCAGCCCCAGCCAATCATCGGTCTTATCGGATATCACCTGAATATGTACAGGCAATCAACAGTGATCATATCTGACGTAAGTCACATCTTACGTCATTGAGAAGGCTTAGGCAGTCAGCCATGAAGGTGTGATGCCAGTGAGGAAAAACACCCAGTAAATAAAGGCTTATGACGTCTTTGAGAAAACCTATAGCCAATCACTACTCACTTCTATAGAATTATGAGGATCGCGCAGCCAATCAGCAGTGACTATCTGACGTCAGGAACCAGTCGGATCCAAGATTTTGCTTCGGGTTTGAAAATCAACAGAATATAAATAATTTTTTTAAAAAAGTTAGTCACTGGCAGCATTAATCAACAAATAAATAAAAAAACAACATTATCAGTCAATGCAGGGAAAACAGGCATAGAGCTGGCTAACGCAGATAAGAATCACCCAATACATAACGTGTAAAATACACTAATTAACTCGGCCCCTGCCATTAAACTTTAAGACATAAGATGGTGGTTTCATCCATAAACTCACCGTATCAACGTAAATAACTTCCCGTGTTCATTGCGATATCTAACTTTAGGGGAAACTGAGAAGGGAAAACAGGATTTCCACTCTGGTGATAAATTTTGTCCGATTTTACAGATTCTGCACCGTAACAACATTAGCGGAAGGCTGAAGTTGGCTGCCAGAGAAGAGTTGAAGTGGAAGTGGAGGAGGAGGTGGAGTGGCGGAGGAGGAGGAGGAGAGGAGGAGGGAGGAGGAGGAGGAGGAGGAGGAGGAGGAGGATGGAGGAGGATATAGGAGGATGGAGGAGGATAGAGGAGGATGGAGGAGGCTTAGCTAGGTGTCTGTGTCTATCTGTCTCAGTCTATCTCTGTGCTGGAAAATAAAAGAACTTTAAGTAGGGATGAACGATAAGGAAGGTGAAGGAAGAAAACAATGATAGAAGGGAGATATTTGATGAAAGTCAGAGAGAAAGAATACAAAAAAAAGGTTTCAGCCATAGACCTATGACGTCAACAAAGGCAGCCATAAAAGGATTAATCTAATTACTGAATCAGATCATCACAGTGGTAATTGATTTCTCATTATGTTACTGCTATGAATTTATCTTTACCAAGCCTCGGGTCGTGTTGGCCTTGTGTACAGTATATACCTCAGCTGGCGGTCAACAAGCGAGGTAGAAACACACACACACACACACACACACACACACACACACACACACACACACACACACACACACACACACACACACACACACACGACGGACTAACATACGGACGATCCAGCACACACTTTATCAACTCACTCTTTACCATAAATACCAACACAAAAACAATCTTCAAATACTTTATTTTTTTATCTACCAAACGTTCCGATGTTTTTGTTTCTTGTTATAGTTTTTGTGTATTTGTCTACGTATTTAAATGAGAGGAGATCTTTGAAGCACGTAGACGCACGACGGTCATTTTTTACACTAGATAGAGCCAATATATACCATTGAGAGTATAAGCTCTTCTGTCCCCTTGTCATCCCTGTCTAATATTTACCGTCTGTGGGCTAGCGGCTCTCTCTCAAATTTGCTAGCCCACACTGATTAGTCTTCAATTAGAATATGACTCCAATGTATGTGATCCACTGACCTATATATGCTGCTGGTGAATGTGATGTATTTCCTTCTTTGTGTACGAACCTCTGTCCTGTATGGCAGTGGAAAGTGACATTACCCACATGAATCTGACCGACGTATATGTATGTATGTGTGCGTGTGTGCATGTATATGTACGTGTACATGTATATGTGTATGTATATACGTATATGTATGTATATGTGTGTGTGTGTGTTTACATATATGTATATGTACTGTCAATGAATATGATGCAACTCTTTGTGTACGAACCTCTGTCCTGCATGGCAGTGAACAGTGACATTATCCATATGAATCTGACCTCTATACATTTATAGTTGTTAATGAATATGATGTATTTCCTTGTGTGTGAACCTCTGTCCTGCGTGACAGTGAGAAGTGATACCACCCTCAGTGTCAAGACCTGACTGAATTACTCAGAATAGGCAAACTGTACTACAAGCTCTGCCAATAAATTTGTTAAACTAAAAAACTCTCTCTCTCTCTCTCTCTCTCTCTCTCTCTCTCTCTCGTTTTGACCACTTGAGTACCATGACTTACTTCTCCTGAGTCATCGTACTCAAAGGAATAGATCATGGTATCCCAGGAGTTAATTCATCATACTCAAGGGAATAGGTCATGGTATCCCAAGGGTTAAGTCATCGTACTCAAGGGGTTGTTAAGTCATTGTACTCAAGGGGTTTAGACATTGATTTTCAGGGGGTATTGATGTATTAGTTAAATCAATTAAGTCTGGCCAACGGGGTCAAAAAAATATCATTGACGATATTCTCACGAGAGCAGATCTGACGTAAGTGTGTATGTGTGTGTGTGTGTGTGTGTGTGTTTAATTAGCAGGTAGTCAAAAATTGTACGATAGAGAGAGAGAACACATTTTAAAGATTATAAAAACGACAAAGAAAAAAGTTATCAAAAAATACAGAAAGAAAAACAAATTTCATTATGGTAAATGTAAATCCTTCACAAGATAAAAAAAAAAATACTAACGCTAAAATTCTCCCCAATAAAATAAAAACAGAAAAATTACCAAATTAGTCAATAAAAAAAATAATTAACTTCACAAAAAATATAAAAAACTATAAAATGTCAAAAAAAGAAGAAAAAAATTATAATCCACAATTTTCATCACAAAAAGTGTAACGAGAAACTAATAAAAAATGCAAATCCACCTTGAGGAGCTCTTCATTGTGCTGCCACACTGACTAACTGATTGTTGTGATCACCCCACACTGTGTTGGAATATTCATGACCACCATGGTAACTCACTCACTCCTTGCTCATGTGGAAGAGGACGGTGGGATGGGTGGGTGAGTGGGTTGGGTGAGGAAGGGGAGGTGGAGAGGGAAGAAGGGAGGGGTTGGGGTGGGGTGGGTGGTTTGTAGGATGGGGTGAGGAAGGAGAGGGGCGGTGGTTGTAGATGAGGGGGGATTAGTGAAAGGAGGGGGAACTTAGTGAGAGAGGGAGAGAGATGAGAGAAGAGGAAAGGAAGGTTTACAATAGGAGTACTGAGATACATACAAATAGGTGGTTGCCGTGTACAGTCCAAGTAGAGGTTGAGGATTGTATCTTTTAGGACGGACGGACGGAGGCTAAATCGTTCTTATAGTGGATATATAAGACAAACGGACAGATGAGACAGCTATATCGTTCCTGCAGACAATAATAACTTTATCTCTTAAATGTATCAGGGTAGTGTTGGTAAGATGAGGGCGCGCGCACACACACACACACACACACACACACACACACACACACACACACACACACACACACACACACACATCCCACACACACACACTCCAACAATTCCGTGATGGACGCTTCGCCTAACTCACAGCTAACAAAGGTTTTCCAGCACACAGTAATTTTCTCCTGAGATTGAGCAGCTCTTTCTAGTGTTGCATTAGGTGATACATCAGCGAGATGCAGTGAGGTTGGCTGATTGCAATACACCTACATTTCTTCACTACCTATTATGGCGGGGGTGGAGATGAGGGGAGGGAAGGGGAGGGAAGGGGAATGCACCTACACCGTCACTTCACCAGAAAATGAGAGAAGAACCTGGATCTTACCTGTAGTTTGATACCTGTGTATTTTTCAAGCCCTCCCCCCTCTCTCCCTTTCTCATTAAATACTATAATTCTTTTATTCACTCCCTTCCTCTTCTTCCTTCTCTCCTACCTGGAACTCCTCGATTTTCTCCATTCATTAACCTTCTTCCGCCTCTTCCATCACAGAGACAAGACTCACTAGATAACGACACTTTAATAATTACAGAGTTTCCACACCAATCAGAGTTTTATTTTCCCTGACTTCCATGATCAGATCACTTGAAAGGCTTCTATGTGAACTTGGAAGAGCAAAAAAAAAAAAAATCTCATATCTAATTAAAAGTCTACAGTTTACAGTAACGTTAATACGCTATAGTTTTCATTCTCCTGATCGCTTTAGTATGATGTTGACAATTGGTGATTTTTTCTGTCTAAAGCCTGACTATTTCATCAATCCCTTAGTCTGATGGGGTTAATGTACGGAGGTGTATCACTGTTATATGTGATCCGCTCTACGTGAATGTTCAGCTGTGTGACTGAAGCTTAATTCTTAAAAGTCTTTACCCTTTCTCTCCACCACCTCCACTAACCCTCTTCCACTTTCCTCCATAACAGCCACGGATCTCACCAGCTACCGCTACGCGTGCTGGGACCTAAAACACGTCGGGGCTGTAGGAGAGTCAGTACTCCACCTGTGTGTACTCAACGCCACCTCCGTCCACAACGACTTGGCCAAACGCCTCATACGGCACTTCCCCAACCTAATCAACGACATCTACCTGTGTGACGAGTACTACGGTGAGTTGAGAGAGAGAGAGAGAGAGAGAGAGAGAGAGAGAGAGAGAGAGAGATAAAAAACACCAAATACACACACACACATATACTCCCTCCAGCTACGAACTAAAGACATGGAGAAAAACACAGGTGCAGAAATGTTCAGAAAAGCGAACACCGTAATAAACGCGTCCACGTCTGAACCATCCAAACTCGGGGATTTTTCTTTTCATAAAACATTGGTCACATTTTTTCCATCCGTGTACCTCAGTTGACTAATGGCCTGACCTTTTCACATTAAACAATATTTTGGACTCATTTGTATAGGTATGAATTTCTACATATATATGTGTGCGTTTTTACATCCCTGTGTGCATTCCTACATAACTCTGCACATAGATACATATATATGCGCAATTCTACATAACTGTGTGCGTATAAAACTCTACCTGCAAAACGTTTCTACATACCTGTGCACATTTATACATACTTCTACACACTTATATATACAAGTACATACCTTTTTATACATCTGTACACACTTGTAGATATTTTCACACATTAATGGACATATTTTCATATCTGGATAACTGTAAAGTCCTTCTAAACACTTAAATACACCTGCAAGTATTTACACACACCTACAATAATTCCAAACACCTGTAGTACTTCACACACACACACACACACACACACACACACACACACACACACACACACACACACCTGTACACACCTGCATAAGTTTAAGTGCTACCAGCTCATCCACATAGTCATATCTCTGTGATACATTACTAAGTCAGTGTAGACCCAAAGCAGGCTTACTTAAATCCTCTAATGTGTGGTCTACATGTTAATGCTTCCCCTGCGTGTGTGTGTGGGTATGAACATGCATGTGTGTTTGAGCTCGAGATTAAATGTCTATATATGTAGGCACGTGTTTGATGTACGTAGTGTGTGTGTGTGTGTGTTCTTAAATGTAAGTGTTTGTCTGCAGATATCATGTTATCATCGTTTCATTCCAGCCAGCTTTTTACGGGCGACTCATAGCCACTACCCAAACACAACATGAAAGTCCCAGTAGGTAGTAGGCAGCTATCAAACAGGGAGGTACTACCGCCTGAGAAGATAGTGGAAGCATAATGTGTTGTCTAATTCCATATGGCATCACGAAAATTGTGACCAAGTCCCAGGTTGCTGATCTGACTTTCTGCCTCATTTACACACAATTTCAGGGTTTCAATTGTTTCTCTTACTTTGACAACACAACATACATATATTGTTTCTCACACTTGATACTCTTATTCTTATTCTTATTCTTCTTCTTCTTCTTCTTATTATTATTATTATATTATTATTATTATTATTATTATTATTATTATTATTATTATTATTATTATTATTATACTTAATTTGTATTAGTATTAATATTTTTCTTTTACTATAATTATTTATTCTCATTAATTTTATTATTATTACTATTATTATTATTATTATTATATTTTCGCCCCCCCAGGCCATGGTGTGGGTCATTAAAAATTACCTGTGCCCGGGTGGGCTAATGCCAGCAAAACAATAAATAAATAAATACAAATACTGCGGTAGTATTCTTAACTCACGCACGATGAACACATGACACCATGGAGAGACCTGAACTGAGACACTGGATTTTGTCAGCACGAAGTAGATTGCTAAGTTAACATTACGATATCAGACTCACCCAAAGTTAAGTTAATTTATAGTTAGTTTAATTTAGGTTTGTTAAATTTAGGAAAGTTTAAGTAATATTTTAGGCCATGTTATTTTAAGTTAGACCAGGTTATGTAAATTTAAGCTTGGTTATGTTAGTTTAAGTTAAGCTAGATTATGTTGTAGGTCAAAAATGGATTAGTTTTGATACTTAGTAGTGGTTAGTTAAATTTAAAATATAACTAACCTCAAGTAAATGAAACAAACCTAAAAGAAATAAAGAATTTGGGGAAATATTTATACGTAGGACTTCTCTATATGATGGAAGAATATACCAAAAATAAAAGGAACAATATTTTGGGTGTGTTTGCGAAGCCCGAGAACAGCAGCCTCGTTATAAAGTTGCGACATAAACAAACACTTGGGCGAGACTAACTGATGGAGAAAACTGCTTTACGGTAATTGAATTCCTTAACAGAAAACGAAAGAAAATGGACATCTTACCCATTATTAGGGGATAACTACAATATTTTAACAGGCCTTAAGAGAAACTGAAATTCTTATTAGAAATGAAGGGTATCTGAATCCATTAATGGCTTATGGAAAGGTATCGAAATGTGTTTTAAATAATTCGTAAAAAAATTGTGGCCCTTTAACAGGTTTTAAGCGTCATTTGATCCCTAAAGATAAATTTAAAGTTATATCAAATCCTTAAAAGTTAATGTTTATTAATTAATAGCTGAGCCAACTAATAATACCAGACCCAATTTTTCACACCTGAACCAATTTTTCACACCTGACCCAATTTTCCACATCAAAACCAATTTTTCACACCTAAACCAATTTCCTTTGGAGTCAACCTTCTCACTCTAGCCCTAGTATGTCAAATTAACTTTACACAATAGGTCTTACTACCCACAGAGCTCCCCCACCCTGAGAACCCCTCACAATCCAGCCTCCCCCCACTACTAACTTTCACTCTGAACTTTCTCTTCAAAACTTTTCTCTTATATTACCAACCGAGACAAAGAAAGTGGTGTGTGTGTGTGTGTGCGTGCGTGTGTGTGTGTGTGTGTGTGTGTGTGTGTGTGTGTGTAAGTGTGAGTGTGTGCGTGTGTAGCCACTAGCCGTGTTTATTTGTCCTCACTGTCTTGACTGATGACTTTGTCTACACTCAAGAAGTTTGTTAATTAGTTGGGTCTCGTGGAGAAAGAGATGAGCTGGAGATGGGTGGGGTGGGTGAGGGAAGGTGGGATGGGTTAGGGGAGGGTGGGGGGGGGTGGGAGGGGTGGGGTGGGTGAGGGAAGGTGGGGTGGGTGGTGGGAGGTAGGTGAGGGAGGTGGGGGTGAGGGAAGGTGGGGGTGGGTGGTGGGTGAGGGTGGGGTGGGTGAGGTGGGGTGGGGTGAGGGGGGTGGGGTGGGGTGGGGTGGGGTGTTGAAGGGGAGGGTGCTGGGTGGAGTGTTGTGGTTCGGTCGTTGATGCATGCTGATAATTTCCTTGTTATTATTGGGTTGTGTGAGTCAACTAATTTAAGGAGCTACGCTGAATCAACTGCTTGTGACCGTCGAGTAGTTGTGAGTTCCTTCTCTTTATTGTAACGTTGGAAAGATTTCATTAACATAACGTGAATTTTAATGCGTGTACATGTGTAAGATAATGATAATATTGATAATGATATGCACCCAGGAATCATCTAAAATGGGAGTGCAACAGCCGAGTGGACACAGGTAAGCGAAGGGTGAATAGCTATACCTGACGTTACAGTTGAGGAAGTGAAGGTGGTTGAGTACAGTGACCATCACACACTCCCACCTTGTGTATATCGAACTGTAGGCGTTGGGGAGCCATTTTCATTGTCCTTCAAATCGTTTTAAATAATATCGATCGAACAATAACAATCTCTTTACATTCTGACAGTTTATCTTCGGTCTTTTACCTCAATAACTAGCTCTCTCCCTCTCCCAGGTCACTCTCACTCCCTCTCCCCCTTTCCCAAAATCGCCCTCACTACCTCCCCCCAACTCCCCAATCCACTCTCACTCACACACCCAACCCCCTGTGAGAGGCTAGCTAGGAGTTGCGTTCTAACAGGATCACTTTAAAGTATATCAAGTTTCCTCATAAATGTCAAATCTCACTGAGTTTCGTTTTACGGGTACTGGAGGACAACTGCACCCCACCACAGTCTATCCATTTTCCCTTTTTATTTATTTATTTATTTTTGTGTGTGTTTTTGACGTACGTTGAACTGTAGAAAGTGTGGAAATAAAATAAAGATAATCCTACACGAATTCCTATTTAGTGTTTAGATTATTGTTGAGTAAGTTAAAAAGTCCGGGAGTATTTTCTAATTACACCAACTTATTATATTCATCTAAATTCATATAAATTTGTCCGTGAAATGGCCATACAAAACCTGATCTACAAGTTTTGATTAGACGAAAGTTTGGTTATGAACTTCAATTTAGCATAATTCTTTGGTGTGGGGGGGGGGAGGGGGGCGAGAGAGGTGCTGACATGTCAACAGATCGAGGAGGAGGAGGAGGAGGAGGGGGGGATAGCGTGCTGATATTGTGATTTCTTTTTCAAATTCTCTCTCTCTCTCTCTCTTTCACCAAAACACTTCTGTCTTCCTCCCTTCCCACCGTCAAAACTTCCCCCTCTTTGATCCCTACCCAGTTAACTCATACAAGTACATACTCCTTCCCTCCCTTATTCATCTCACCTCTCCCTAGCACTCTTATGACCCTCTCCCCTCCCTACCACACTCTCATGACCTCCCTCTCTCTCTCTACAGGTGAAAACGTGCTGCATATCTCCATCGTGAACGAGGACCCGGCCATGGTCAAGTTCCTGCTCGACCAAGGGGCCAACTACCACGAGAGATGCCTTGGTAACTTTATGTGCCCCGAGGACCAGAAAACCTCCAGAGCTGACTCTCTGGACCATGAGTGGGTCGACCTCTGCCTCCAAACCAACTTTGAGGGGTAAGGTGGTATTGTTGGAAGTCGACCTCACCCTCCAAACCTCTATTTCCTCCTATGTGTACTATAACCTTCCTCCTCCTCTTCGAATTCGCTTGTTCTCTCTATCTGTGTTTGTTTATCTCTATCTCTCTCTGACCCACTACTGAGTCACTTGCAACACAACCTCTGATGTCCCCCTCCCCTCAACCCTTGATTTGACTGTGTTTACCTCAGTCATTATGTGGGGGTCTTTAGGTAGGGTGCGCTCAACTACCACACACAACCGCACACAACCACACTCAACCATCACTACCACCACGACCACACGCAACACATCACTCATTCATTACCTTCACCACACGCAACACATCACCACAACACTCATTCATTACCTTCACCACACGCAACACATCACAACCACACTCAAACCACACGCATCACACACCACCACCACCACCACAACCATTAAATGCAACACAACACCACGACAACCGCACACAATCCAACACAATAACAGTCATCATATGTTCATCAGTCAACCGCTATAATAATAATAATAATCATAATAATAATAATAATAATAATAATAATAATAATAATAATAATAATAATAATAATAATAATAATAATAATAATAATAATAATAATAATAATAATAATAATAATAAGGACAACAGCAACACAAACACGAAAAACAGAAATCGCTGTAAGATAACTATAATAACAAGAACAAGAAACACTAATAACAGCACCAACAAGACACTTGACATCGCCTCTCTGACCTACTGCTGCAATGCCCAACAATATTGTGCACGTCACTCACTCCTTACACCATAATTTTAAGGTGTTACATAAGACGGTGACGAGTCCACCATAATCGCGAAAATCTTTTTTCTATGGTTCCAGAATCCTGTGACCTTATTCTAGACCAGTCTAGATATTGGTGTGGGTGAAAAACTCGCTACTCGTTATTACCCAACTAAACTTCTAGCACTGTGACGGTTTTCCAGGAAGGGAGGGGGTAGAAATCCACTAATATTAGTAGCATAATAATGGCGAACAGGTCGGAGCGTCCCTCACAAGGATTATAAATAGTACAGTAGGACTCGGACTGTATGATCCTTGCTTTCCTGACACCAGTGGCCAACTGGTTGAACTGGCCAGTGAGCGTAGCCTTGGCCATTAACCAATGAGCGTCCAGTGTGAGTCTTTGCCACTTGCCTTTATGTTAGGTTCAGCTCCGGTGCTTTCTGTCTAATAGTGGTGGGTGTCGCAAAGGATTAATGATGGACGTAATAGAACCTGACCTAACCAACCAAAGAAACCTACCTAACCTTACCAAACTTCCTAGCCTGGAGGCGGACCCCCTACCACATTAAACACAAAGTACTTATTTTGTTATCTGGTACCAATGAAAGCAGCTTTGTCGAAGTGTCAAGGTACAATTTTACATATTTTGTAGACCTGAGAGTACGAATCAGACCAAGAGGGTTGATTGTAAACAGACAACACGCAGTGACTCGGCAGATTTTTCGGAGGCGTATTTACGGTAAATGACTCCCCAAAAAATAAATACCTCGCTTAGATGTAAATTTGTAATTTGTATTACAAATTCAACAAGGAAAAGTGATAGGGATATATTACCTATAGCAACTATTCATTTGCAAACACCTTTTGAGAGTCCCCTTGTAAAATAATACCCTACAGTAGCATCATATGGTCAGTTTTTTCGCTGTGTTTAACTCCACAATTTTTCCTCATCCTTCACGACCTGCCCACTGCAGGTGAGTTATCATCGTAGACCAAAAAATAAAATAAAATACTTAAAATTATAGGAGAAAGTTGTATCATTATTACTGTCCAAAGAACATCTCCGGCAAGAACGAACGAAATTGAACAATTCCTTCTGATGTTAGCCACCTCCTCCAGTATTACCAAAGATATTTTAGCATATAACATTAGAATTAGATGACATTAGGCATTAGTGTCTATAAATAGTTCAGGTACTCACAGGTAGGTGGCGCAGTCGCCGTCCTCACAGCTGGACCGTAGCCCCGTGGTTCACATCTCACCATCACAAGCAAGTCCCTGCAATTTATCATTTATCTTACTCAAATTTACATTATCCATGCTATAACTTGTTACTTATATAATCGCACAGTATATTTATTATATTATTAATCACGTAAAGTATCAGTATCTCTCATAGTATATGTTTAAAATAGATCTTAGCGTAATTTGAGAACAAATTGAGTCTTGCCACTCCGGAATGACACTTTGTTTTCGTTAATTTATACAGCGTTGTGTTATTTCATCCCTTGCATCTTATTTCCAAAAATACTAAAATTCTTCTTCGTCCGAACTACTTAATAAAACCGTCCCATAGGGCATTCTTACCTGTAATTTTAAAGGAAATACTTCTCCACAGCTGTCACCTATACAAAACTCATGTGTTATGGTCAATGGTGGGGTGTTACACTTTTAATAATTCGTAATTTTAATATTCTCACGTCATTCAATATTACTTTATCCCTCTCCTAAAAATATATATGAAGAAATCAAATGAATACGTAGGAGCTACCTTCTGGTTTCAGGTATTAGAAACTAATTTTTGATATCCTAATAAAACTAAAAAGTGAACTGCTCGCTCAGGGAACCACTCCAACTCTCGCTCTTACCTCATTCTGCTCTCGTTTCACTTATTTACTCTACTCATTCAGTTCACTCTTACTCAACTTATTAACGGCATTATGTTAAAAAACTAAATTTAGGCCCCCCCCACTTTACATACAATCGAAAGTATAGGCAAGTCCCCAAATTTTAATCGTGTGGTTGGTAGCCCTTCCTCACTGCTCCGAGAACATGCTGTTTCATCACAACAAAAAACGCTTTGAGAGTACAGTGGTAGAGCGGACAATGCAGAAGAGAGTGAGCATTACTAGAAGAGTGAAATGGCGTCGTGCTCGATAAAAGCCACTACTTTAGGTTGATATCTAAGAAGAAACAGGTTTAGGGAGAGGTGACACAGCAGCTCCGCGAGATATGGAAACATACAAAGAGCAAGTAAGTATATTTTCGAATTTTGGTAGTTTAATATCGGTTCATGGATCACTATCTTAACCAAACCTGTATAGAAAGCTCCCCACCACCACAATCCATTTGTATAGGTATTTAACATCAGTGCTTTTGGTAATTACTGATGACACCCATAGCCGATATAATATTAAAAAACGCTGCAATTTCAGTGTTTTGCATTGGACACAGTCATAGTTTGGATAAATAGATTAAAGTGGAGTTATTTCTAAAGTAACGTAACAACCTTAGTTGATAAGAAACACAAGCAACCAAAGCGATGTTAGACGACCGCACCTACCTAACTAAAGAAGCCTACTTAACCATACCTAACTTTGTAGCTGGGGGGGAACTCTACCCCCTGGACCCCCTAGCATGTTGACCAGAAATTCCGTTGATATGGTGTAACTACGTTTTTTGTGCATGTGAGAGAAGCCGTCTGACCGAGTGGCTCATAAACAAACAATGAAACAAACGATGAGCGGTCCGACTAATTACCCAAATATAGCCGGAATGAAGTCAAATAATGGTCCTAGATGAATAAATCGGACTGTGAATCACTTCTCGATTATTATTTGGTGTCATAAAGTCACAAAAAATTGGTAAACTTAATTTAATCTGAGTTGTGTTGTTAGGTTAGGTTAGATTAGATTAGATTAGATTAGATTAGATTAGATTAGGTTAGGTTAGGTACATGCACTCGATGTATTAACTCAGATTAAATTTAGTTTACCAATTTTTTGTGACTTTGTGACACCAAATACTAGTCGAGAAGTGATTGGCAGTCCGATTTATTCATCTAGGACCATTATTTGACTTCATTCCGGCTATATTTGGCTACATTTGGGTAATTAGTCGGACCCCCTCGTAACAACATTAAGCGTGGGCCTGGCCGCCAGACCATTTTACTGCCGCAAAAGACGAAGTAGTGCCACTAGTGGGAGCCTAGGGGCCTAATTATTTTCCAGAAGGAACATTTGCCATTTGCCTAAGAAATGAACATCATATCTGGACTCAGTGATGAAAATATAGTTAAAAAAGAGGATTCATCTAAACAAATTACACTGCTATGAGTATGTCGTCAATATTAACCGTACTTTTAATTATGTTATAATTACAGCCACAACAAATGAAATGGTAATAGAGGACTTTCTTTAACATTATAATTTCTGATACTAGTAACTTCTTTTTCCAAAATCAAAGTGTTTTTATAATGTTTGGGACAGCTTCACTATAACTGGCAAGAATGCCACCAAGCCAGTGGTTTTAATATTATTTACGCATTATACTAACTTTTTTAGTAAAGAAACTATTTAAGGGTATGTTTAAACTCAACGAAATAATGATGTTAATAACTAAAACAATAATGATCTCAGATAAACTGCGTGTAATGTAGTGTAAGAATACTTTAATTGTGGTTAGGTTAGGTTTTAATATTATTTAAGGATTATACTGTATTAAACTTTTACAGTAAATAAACTACCTACTGGTATGTTTAAACTTAGCTAAATAAGAGTAATAATGTTGGTATGGTACTGTACTTGAACTCCACCGAGGTACAATACATGCAGTGTCTTTAAAATATATATATAGGGTGGCATTGTATCCTTATTTTTCTTTTCTAAAATGTTTATTTATCTATCATATACAGTACTGTACAGTACATCCAATACATTCTTCTTTGTTTTGTTTTTTGGGTACAGGATTGTCTTAATGAAAAAATATAAAGTATGGGGTTTGCGAAGGCCATGGCCTGGCAAATCTAATTTAGTATTGGAACATCCCAAAAAATTAGGGGCGTGAAAAACTTTTAGCATACCAGTGTGGTCTGGGAGTAAGCTCACTCACTCAGCACCGTTTCTTACTCAGGTCATTCTTTCACTCGGCTCACTCACTCAACTCACATTAAGCCAGCTCACTGTCATTGAGGTCACACTGTTTGGGCCGGGTTTTGATATCAAACGATCTCACTTGTTAACATTTGCCTGAATGAGTGTAGAGTAGTCGCTGGTACCTTTGATGAAGCTGGGTGAGAGTAATAGGTAATCTCGCGGTGTCACCTTTGATACAGTCGTTGAATCGTTGAGTCGTCCCAGCCGCCCTGGGTTACACTTGTAATTATCTTAGCTTGTAAGTATACACAAGTGTACACAGGTTCTGTTATCTTCATTTGTGGTTCCTTGTTTTAATGTAAACACACGTGGTGATTTTCTAGTTATATTGGATGCTCTGGTAGTTACAGAATTGTTTGTTGACAGACTACTGAGCATTAGCTATTAGCTTGTCATTAGTTTATATAATTAGAGAGAAATACAGCCTTGGGGGCTATGCTCACACACGTCTCTTTGGTACGGTGTCTGGCTGTGAGCTGTGAAACTGTAAACTAGGCGAACCTCTCTCTGTCTGCTTGTAAGGGGGTATGTAATCTATACGTCAACACAGAGATAAGAGGCTACACTCCACAGGCCTACTCTCACGGAGGCCTGGGGACATGTATTTATGGGTTGTAACGTGAATCTGTGTGAAACTACAAACGTTTATGTGTGCTGTCCACCCTAGGAGGTGTGACAGAACAAATGCTTATACTCAATAGTCTGGGTGATAGAATGTATATAACGAATATATGTCCTTAGCCCATATTTATATAATACTAATTGATAAGGGCTAGAACAACACTCTCCTTCAGTTCACTCTTCTCATTCAGCTCACTGCTTCACTCAGCTCACTCCCCAAGTTCATTCACTCACTCAACTCGCTGCCACTTTGCTGACACTCACCCAATTTCCTCAGCTCACTCACTCGGCTCACTTTTCTAATTCAGCTCACTCACTTTCTCAGTCCAAACTCACTCACTCACTCACTTCACTCTAATCTCACAGGTACGTGTACTGGGGGGAATACCCGCTGAGCTTCGCTGCTTGTCTGGGCCAGGAGGAGTGTTACCGTCTCATACTAGCTAAGGTAGGTGTTGTACGGACGCATGTATGGACGCACAGATGGATGGGTACATTGATGCACGCATTGGCGCACGTATGAGTGGGCACATGGACGAACACAAGTACATAAGCCTGAACGAACGCATGGATGGATGGATTGATGCATGGACGAACAGACGGATGAGTGGATTACGCATGGACGCATTGATGGATTGACGCATGGACGCACTGATGGATTGACGCATGGACGCACCGATGGATTGACACATGGACGCTTGAATGAATGGCGACATGCATGAACGAACGCATGGACGCACGGATGGGTGGATGCATGAATGAACGGATGGTAGGACGGACGGACGGGAGCATTTCCAAACATATTGAAACAGATGAATACGTCAAACCAAACAGAAACAAACACTCAGCGTTATCCAGTATTTGTTAAAGCGTATCTTCTATTTTTCTCCCAAAACTTTATTTTTTTTCCATATTTTGCCGGAGGTGGGAAATAGGAGTTTGAGAGGGGTAGTGGTGGGAGGTGGTGAGAGGGGTAGTGGTGGGAGGGGTAGTGGTGGGAGGTGGTGGCGAGGGATTGGTACAGTGTAAGTGGTTTGTCTGGTCGGTTTGGTAGCCTAGTCTGGGTTGGTGGCGGTTGATGGTAGATTCATGTCGTGATCTTGGTAATACTCTACAGCTGGTGTGCTTGAAGGTAACTGAAGTGGTTTGTGTGACGTACAGTATATCGATATCGTTCCCTCCCTGTTCCTTTTTTTTTTAGGTTTATCTCTGTCTCTCGTTCTATCTCTGTGTATGTGTCCATCTTTCTTCATTTATCATCTATACACCAATCTACTTCACATACAGTACACTCAGACATCTTCTATTCGACACGTCCCTCCTTCCTACCCATTAAAGGATGTTGACTAATTCATCTCACGGTTAAAGTACCGAGAGACACATAATTACATCCCGTCTTTCCCTCGTCGACGTGGAGTTTGACGACACATTCGCCGCCACCCACCGCGAGAAATTAGGGGTTAGATTTTATTCATTACCGTGAAAGGAACATCTTAATGGTGTCCCTCAAGTCGATGGAGGATGGTAGTGGTGTATAGGGTAAAGGTGGTGATGTAGTTTGGAGAAGATACGAGCGTCCGGCCTCCAAATATGTTGTAGTGATATATACAGTTCTTACCGTATTGGCGTGGAGGGAGGCCGGGATAGCCGGGTTACTATAGAGTACAGCCAGAGATGATAATTTCTTGATCAAACCTAAATAGTAAATATATCTAAGAAAACATTAACCAGGAAGGAAGCTGCTGCATTTTCAGAGATAAGTTTGAGCGTAAATTAATTTATAAGACCGCTCGTTTCATTCATAAAATTAATGGCCCGCTTTTTCGGGAGCTGTCATGCAGTTTAATTAAATGCAGAATTTTTGTCAAGATAAGAAAGATTTTTACATTCAGTTATACACCACATTTTACTCACCGACAAATCTTTTGAGAACATGAAAGAGACTTAAATGTTTTGCACTGATATTTTTTTTTTAACACTTAAGGTAAATACTGAGTGAGAGCAGCGTTTGATAAATGCATGCATTTTTTCCATTACGTTCCAAGTGTGGAAACTATTGCAGGTGCAAAGTGTCAGCTAGAGCGAGTGAAGAACTTGAAGTTGACTCCTGGGTGGCCTCCCTCCTGAAGGACATGTTCTCCCTCGTCTGCTACATCATAGTGTTGACCTACCTGCCCTGACAGCCTCCAGTTATAGGGCTCTTTTGCTGCGTTAAATAACTCTATAAACACCTCTCCTGACTGACTGAAACAGCCCACTGAAAGAGCTTCTCAAAAATGCATCTTTTTACGTATTCTTGGCTATTCTTGTTGTTTAATTTAAATCTCAAGTAATTCAGTCTTCAATGAAAAATGGATCTTGCCTACATGTGGGTAATTCAGCCAACGAACAATAGATGGCGTATGAAATAGTTTATTGTTAGCGTGTTGATGAGTGTAAACCTTCCATAATGAGTGACGATAATAAATGATTCAGGTGCCCATTATTCTGGTAATAAATTTTGTCTCTGGGAATCACTATTTACACGTACAAGAAGAGGGAGCACATACTATTGTTGAAATTGCCACCTGACATTGTACCTCCATCACGTTTACTGTGTAAGGTGGTATGAATATTATTGAATATACACATTTAATTTGCCAACATAGGCGTATACAAGTGTATGTGTGTCTTTGTATTATTCGTCTATTTATTTAATAATTAATACTTGCTGACACGCCAGAATTATTCATATTTTACTACGTCAGGAATATCGTTCTTAGGAAGCCTCATTACACAGTACTCAAGTTTTAATGGAAATGTATCTGTGTGTGTGTGCTGACTTCACCTCACAACTTGACCTTATGAATAACGTACAGTAACTTGGAATGCAATATGCAGTTAGTCTTATATTATTTAACAAGTATGAGATATATTTGATTTTAATAATTTGAACGAACCTTGAATTTGTGGAACTATGCGTTGAATATACGAGATTTTTTCAAGTTATCGTATTTGTATCCTTCATCTTATTTTCAGACTTTCATTTTCTTTGTTTATTTTGTATTTAATAATTCGCGTTTAATAAAGTGAAGCATTCTTTTAAATGTTTCTTTCTTCATTTTTATATAAGAAAATGAGTTGGGACTTAAAATCAGAAACACCACAAATTTTAACTTCAGAAAGTAAAATTAAATAAATATTCAAGTAAGCTATACATATTTACAGTATATACCTGATTATTTTATATACACTAAACCTAAGAAACGTTATCCTTCTCAGCCCTGAACCTCCGATGTAAACCCGTCAACTTAACACATATCTGACACAACATAATAGGCTTTAGCACTCACAACCACTATGAGGACTATACGCATCAGGGACAACAAGTGTGGAGATGAATTATTATACTTTATAGCGTAAAATATTGTGTGCGTTTTGTCCTGTGATATTTTGGCCTCTTGCCGAGTCGTATACAAACATCCCACGTCCGGGTGTGTGTGTGTGTGTGTACAAGCCCTCTCTGTGTAAGCCCTTTGTGTGTTTGTGTGTCCCCATAATGTTAAGAATCGGTTAAGAAATTTTGTACAGGTACTGCGCTATAGATATCGATTTTTGGACAGAAGTAAAAAACAAAAACAAAAAACTTTCATAACTAATTATAGTATAGTGCTGACCAAAGTCCAGAATTTGTGTCACGGCGCCTGTCAGTTACCTCCTGTCACCTGTCAAATAAATGACTGTCTGTCCTTTGGACGGAATTACAAAGTAATGTAAATTACTAACACTACCCAGGTTACACTATACTGTATATATACTATACTTAGTGACATGAAGCAAAGGCTTTATAATTGCACGTTAATCACGTTTTGCAACTCAGTGTCGCTCATTGTCATATATTTCTCAGTTAATGCTCGCAAGATCATGTAAACAAACTAATAATTAACTTTGATTTATAATTCTGAATTCCCCAAGAAGATCTAAGCTGCCTAACAATCTTTACCGTGAAGTTTACAAAAACACTGCTGATTGGAAGGAAATAAGAAAGCTAAATCATATCTGCATGTATTCTCAAATTTTATAACACGAAGCCATGTTAAAGCTATCGTCCTCATAAATGGAATAAATGATGGATGTTGTATTCTTGAGTTTACGTGATATATCGTTTTCTCTGTAAAAATACTAAACCTTACTGATAGAAAACGAAGATTTATGTGAGCGCCCGAGCTTATGTTCAAGAGAAACTGCCGTAACACATAACACTGAACCATTTCTGTGATGTTATCCTTACGAAGCCAATCTTTACAATTTACTCGAGCGGCAAAGCAAAGGCGATCAATGTGGCAAAATACTTGCTATCTCCCTCAGTATTTTGGTGGCCTGACAAAGGTAAACAGTGCTAGGAGATAACACGAGAAATTATCGTTGGCACACAAGCAGATTTGGATTTAGTTAAAGAATAATAAAACAGGATAGTTCTCCCTAGATTTTTTTTGATTGCCCCCAAGGGGGCTAGTTTATTGGGCACCCCCTTACATCCTGTGCAAGGTGAAGCGCAGAAGCGTTTACAGCGCCCATCTGGGAAGAATGCGTAGTTCATGCTTGCCTTTATGACTCATGCATTAAGGGCGTAAAAGCCCGAAGGGTCATGGGTTTTGTCAGCAAGTTACATAAAGTGACAGAATGATGAGTGTGTGGGGGGGAAATTCCCCGTACAATTTATCTGTTTATGGCAAAGTGTGGCAGGTCCCTGTCTCTAGGAGGAGGGCTATCAGGCCAGGGTGGGAAGAGGTGTTGGTAACGGCTGGAGACCTGTAGGAGGAGGTCATAGGGCAAGTGAGGATGTAGTGAGAGAGGGTGTGAGAGTCGGGTTGACCACAAAGTTTACAAATAGTGTGGCCTGGCTCAGGGTTGCCAATATACTAGGCGTGGCAAAGTACAGTGGGGGTGGAGGTGATATGGTGTGGTGGGACAGGTACAGTAGGGGTGGAGGGAGGCACATAGGCATTGACAATATTGAGGGACATACCGTTTCTTGTGATTGTGATGGCGTGTGCGTCGGCATGCCGGTGGGGTACGGGTAGCCGGGGGTGGTGTCCTCAGGTCCAATAGGTAGCCCTGGTGGAGACAGCACAGACACAGTAGCGGGTGCGGCTTGTGGTGGGTGGAGGACAGGTTGAGGCACCACGTGCCGTGAAGATGAGGCAGGACTTCGCTCGGGGGCAGCAGGACACAGCAGGGCAGGGTGATAGGGTTCGTGGCATTGGTGTTTCCACTCCGGCTAGTGTTTCCCACAGAAACATTACCCTCACTGTCATAATCACTGGGGTCTGACTCTTGAAAGGTGTTGGATTCAGTATGACCAGGCGAGCTGGCGATGGCATCCGTATCAGAGATGTCTGCGTCCATGAGAGAGCCTTTCTGGGACGTTTATGTTGACACCCCATGCTGGCAAAAACTTGCCGGCTGAGGGGAATTTTGTGGGACGATCGGGAAGTCAAGAGCACCTATGGGCACGTCTGTCCCCTTATGTGGTCACGCCATGACTGTTCTCCCTCATATGGCGTTCTCCACCTTATATCAACAAAAGAAAATAGGCAAAGGTCCCTTAAATTTTTGTAATTTTGTATTTTTTCTTCGTAATTTTTCACGTAACTCAAAATAGCTATGCCTACACAACAGCTCTTGGTTTTCAAAATACTGTATTTGCATGTTTCAGTTTGTAAGATTAATTATTAATTCTTCATCACACTGAATGTTTTGAAAGAAATGAAGAAGACATATGAACGTCTTAGGTTTAATTAAGACTTTCATTTGACTAAATATAATCATCTAGATGTTTGTTATTGTATACAAACTCACCAGCTGGACATATTGTGTGGGCTAATGTTATAGTTTTATTTCAATGATGTGATTTATAAAATAAGTTTTACCTCTAATAGAGTCGATAGTTCCCTAATTCATTAACTATTCAATTCTTGTTGTTACTATTGAGATGAGCTATACTCCTTACGAATAAATTACGTCACTACTAATACCGTGACTTATTCTTTATGTACAGGGAGCCAACCCAGACCTCCAGGACACCAACGGCAACACAGTCACCCACATGATGGTTATCTACGACAAAATGGTGAGTGTGTGTGTGTGTGTGTGTGTGTGTGTGTGTGTGTGTCATGCATACATTACCGCGGTGTTTTCCCCAGAGGCAGGATTATCATTATTACCTCTCCACGTGTAACTAAGAGGGAGAATTAAAAACTCCTATCTTGCATTATCGTGATCAAATTACCCTTCCCTTGGCTCCATAATTGACAAGGGTTCATACATCAGGTTGACAGTCCTCGTTATTAGCACTCTGGGATTGTGGTAAGGGAACCTAACTCTTTCCCTTCCCACCTCCCGAATGATGGTGGTTAACCTGTAATGCGTTTTCTCTGTCATAATTATCTAATGTGTTTTGGTCTCTCATTTTTTGTTTGTCGTGTTTTTTCTTTCGTTTTTTCTTTACTTTGTTGTTTGTCGTGTTCTTTTTTTTCTTTCATTTCGTTTACTGTTTTTTCTTTCACTTCGTATATCATGTTTTCATTTCTTTCATTTCGTTCATTGTTTTTCTTTTCATTTCGTACATCATGTTATTTTTTCTTCCCTATCTTACTAGGCTTTTTTTTTCCTGTCCTACTTTCCCTGCCAGATGATCTCTCTCTCTCCCTCCCTCCCACACCCTTCCTGGAACCCGTGTCAATTTATGGGCGGAAACGCGTCCCCCTCGCCAGGCCATCTCCGGGCTGATCCATACAATACACTACTGTATACACATGGTTATGTTTACATTAGTGACGTCACGACAATGGTAGCCAATCACGTGAATCTCTCTCTCTCTCTTGGAAATGTTGCCGTCGTGTGGTGCACCAGTTAACTTTATTTTCCCATTGTTATTTTCATCCCTTTGTTATTGGCAGTATTGTGCAGGTACCAGAAATATAACCACAACACCACACCAACCTGTCGTCAAAACGGTGGCCGGTAATAAAGTCACAGGAAAAAAGTCACAATTTTGGCTAGGAAAAAAAGTCACAGGAAAAAAAAGTCACAATTAATTTATGGTGGCCGGTAATAAAGGCTAGGTTAGGTTAGGTTAGGTTGACATATTAACCTTAAAAAATGTGAGAATTCGATAGTTAACTTTTCTTTTTTTCCTGTGACTTTTTTCCTGTGACTTTTTTACCTGTGACTTTTTTACCTGTGACTTTTTTACCTGGATTCGTCAAAACACCCAACTGCCACACATATATTCACCCTATACCAGAGAGCTGTGACATATTGTATCTCAACCTAACAGTGTTACCTGACGCCAAGGTCATGCTACATAGTTCCTGGGTGTGAGTTAATCCTTAGTACTATACTACACCTTCATTACTATCCCAGCCTCGTATTGACACCTGGCGCCACTGTTGTTGAATCAGGCCTGTCCTTCCCTTACTCCTTCAGGATATAGTCAACATGTGTTCCTCTCCCTTCTACAGGATATATTCAACACGTGTTTCTCTCCCTCCTACAGGATATATTCAACACATGTTTCTCTCCCTCCTTCAGAATATATTCAACACGTGTTTCTCTCCCTCCTACAGGATATATTCAACACATGTTTCTTTCCCTCCTACAGGATATGTTCGACATGTGTTTCGAGGCAGGAGGGACCATCAGCGTCAGAAACCGGCAGGGGCTTATTCCGTTGACCCTGGCAGCCATCCTCGCCCACAGGGACATCTTCTTCCACATCCTCAACATAGAGAGAGAGATCTACTGGCAGATTGGTGAGTGTGTGTGTAATAATAATAATAATAATAATAATAATAATAATAATTAACGGTTTATTGAAAAAATTCTGCAGCCCGAAGGCTGAAAATATACATTGGACATAAATGACTTATTACATACTTTGATGGTTTAACAAAAGCCTTCATTAGAGAAAGGTAAAGGAACATACAGTGAACATACAGATTAATGTAGGTGTTGAACAGCAAACTCGTAGTGTAGTAACTCCCTCCCAGATGGTGTTAGGAGGAACTCACGTGGTGTAGTAGTTCCCTCAGATGGTGTTATGAGGGACCTGGCGTGGTGTAGTAATTACCTCGCAGATGGTGTTATGAGGGACCTCACGTGGTATAGTAATTACCTCACAGATGGTGTTATGAGGGACCTCACGTGGTGTAGTAATTACCTCACAGATGGTGTTATGAGGGGCCTCACGTGGTGTAGTACTTCCCTCACATATGGTGTTATGAGGGACCTGACGTGGTGTAGTAATTCCCTCACAGATGGTGTTATATGAGTGAGGTGTGGTCTTAGGCCTTCCTATCGTAGACGGATTAACACATCTCTGGTTGTTGTTGGGTCTCACGGGCCGTTATCACTGGGTACCTGGGACCTCACTGTGTGAAGGTTAACTTGGGTACGACTGTTACTGTTGAGTTGTTCTCACTGACTTAAGCACTGTTCACCACTGTTCACCTCTGTTTAACACTGGTGTGTGTGTGTGTGCGTGTTTTATCTTTTAGTTTTAGCAGATGATGTAACTTTTTATGGTCACACACACTCACTCACCTCCCCACCTCTCCTACAGGTAACATCACTTGCGCCGCCTACCCGCTCAATTACCTGGACACCATCAACGTGGAGACGGGAGAAACACAGACCAAGTCAGCTCTCAACCTCATCGCTTATGGGGTAAGTCCTCAACCTCATGGGGGGTAAAATTATCGTCCTCTCAGGTATTTAAATCATCGTCCTCATGTATTTAAATCATCGTCCTCGGGTATTTAAATCATCGTCCTCGGGTATTTAAATCATCGTCCTCAGGTATTTAAATCATCATCCTTACAACACGTGCATCTTAAAGGTTCAAGTAATGGATGGTCTCGTGTTGTGAACTTGTGACGGTTCAGAAATGATGTATTCCCACGATACCAACATCAGATAAAGTGGAAATCGAGCGTTAGGGATATCTTGTGTTTCCGTGAGAAAGGGGATGAGTATTAGGGAGATCTACAAATATTAGAGAGATACACGAGTATTAGGGACATATACAAGAATTAGGAAGATATACAAGTATCAGGGAAATATACGAGTATCATAGGGAGACAATGCCCACGGCGACAAAGAGGTGAGGGGAGAGTTCAGTGCTTCCCAGGAGGGCCTTCCTCGTGCCGGGGTGTATGAAGTTTGATGAGACACTGCCACACTGCATACATGAATACAAATTACGTTATCCTTACATTCGATAGAGCGGAAATGTATTCATATACCGTAAAAATATAAACATATGACTACCTACGTTAAAAGAATAAACTTTTGGAGTACGTCTTTGAAACTTCCAACTAGAGGATTACAATTCGATAAAAATAAATCATCGTATTCAGAAAAAAAATGGCAATCTTACTCAAAAAAAGAAACAATTTTATTTAGAAAGTGAAATTTGATGCTTTGGGTTTATGTAGGCAAAGGCGTCATTATACATTTAATATATATATCGTGTGTCCCTGAACGATGACGTGGGAGGGGGCGAAGGTCGTAAATATATATGAAATTTTTTTAGGCAGTATTAATTTTATCGTAGATTTTTTTTATGGTAGAGTTTAGGAACACACACACACACACAAGAAAACACATACATACATACATACATACATACATACATACATACATACATGAAGAACATCAATAAAATATAAACCCAAAATTATCTATTCATAATTGTCTTTAATATCTCCTAAATCACATAACATTAAATACACGTACAGTAGTTATAAGAGTAAAACCTTTAAAATACTCTTAAGTTTCCTCTAATTGCCTTTACACACTTCCACATGAATTAATTATTAACTCCTGAAATATAATTAATGTCATTGAGAGACAAATATTATATCCAGCTGATGCCTCTGGGTCCCACCTCACTGTCCCGTCGTAATATTATGGTAAGGAGAGGTGTGCTTGTTTTACCTACTGCCATGTATGTATGTATGTATGTATGTATGTGTTTCGTGTGATGATGGGCCTTTCGTAAGGTTTTACACTGATGTCTTGTCACCAGCACCTCATGTGGGTTCGTGTTCTAGAGGATATTTTATGTATCTTTGAGTATGTGTATGTGTCTTATTTATGTATATGAAATGATTGAATAGCATGTCAAAATTACGGCTTCATATTATGGTGTATTTCTATTGGGTTAATCCATGGGCACTTATGTTACGCCATTAAAAGGAAGTTTTTGAGGTTAAATCATCCGGTAATGTGTAAAGTTAGACCCGCGATGCTCATCCACCTCCTGATTAATTACTCTTATGGGAATTATAATGTCAGAAAATCTTGTAAATCATCCCTGGTTACGGATGGTCCTCAGAGTTATTTTATATGCTAAGTATTTGAGATATAGGATATTATACTTGTACACCCCGATGGTTGAGTGGTTGAAGAGAGAAAGTTTTAATCTGGAGACGTAGAGTGAGAGAAGAGAGAGTCCCTCATCATATCCAGAAGAAGTGGCCGACTGGAAGGAAATACATCTCAACAAATGGCTGATCGAATACTCCAAGAGATGAAACAAGTGGACATATATGGGGTAACTCTCGGCTTCATCTTACAGTAAATCTCTGATCCCATAAAGAAGCACCGGCAAGAAAGGCTTTAAACAAGGCAACAGCACTACGCCGCATCCTGCACTACTCACACCAGACGGCACCCTACAAATTCTACAAGTCCCAGATCCAATCTGCGCTGGAGTACGCCTATCTGGCCTGGTTCGGGCGCTGCCCAGTAGCACCTCGCTAATTTCTACCGAGTGGCAGCGATGCAACTCGTGTCCCAGGCCACAGGACTGCTTACAGTAGCAGCAGAGAAGTCTACAGCAGAGGAGGGACGTAGCTGGACTTATGGTGCTGTTCAAGGAACAACAGCTCATCTACTCCACCTGGCACCACAAAAACAGCAGCTGCTACGTGGGGTCTACCCAACGAGAGCAGCAGTAGAGGTGCCCCGAGCTAACACTCTCAATACAAACATGTTTTGTAATAGGCACACAGCTTTATGGAATAACACCTTTATCCTTGATGTTTCTCTAAGTAATTAAAAAAAACACTTTAAATGGTGCGTCAATTCTTTGATAGACTAATTATTTCTGTGTTTATAATGTAATCCGTACAATATAAACATGTTTAAATAAAAGAAATAGGGAGAGAGGGAGACTGACGGGCTCACAAGGTCTGCGTAACTTGATCCACTAAAGCTGGTGTTTCTCCCGGCAGAACAAAGAGGCACATCTTGACCTGATGGAGGGCCCCATCGTCGACCTGCTCAAGACTAAATGGGAGACCTTCGTGAAGAACAGGTGAGTCAGTTACCTCGTGTTTAATTGATACGTGAAGAAGACATCTTTTGATGGCTGTCTTTCACATTCGTATAAACAAATACACACACTAAGTAGAATCTTGACACGCAGATAGACATTTATATATGTTACAGGCGAATATAGATTTATACATATGTTGTAGTATTGAGACATAATTGTCTTCATATTCACCAAGTACAAGTTTGTTTCGCCATCTTGAACCTGTTCACCAGCTGACGGCACTGTGTCAACATGAGGCAACGCCAGTGAACATTCCCCGTGATTTATTCACAACCATATTATGAGAGTTAACACTGCCAATAGTACAAGTACTCTGTTCACATGACGGCCCTTTCCCGATGAACTCTTCTTCTTCCTCCCACGTCTCTACTCCTTCCTCTCTACTTATACCTCTCTTCTCCTTCCTCTCTAATTATCCCTCTCTACTTATCCCTTTCTACTTTTCCCTCCCTGCTTCTCCCTCTCTGCACCCCCTCCTCTGCTCTTCCCTCACTGCTCCTAACTCTCTCTGCTCCTCGCTCTGATCCTTCCTCTCTATTGACGTAAATCGAGTTTGCCTTCATACAGTTTCAACCCCAAACTCCTGCTTGCATTAGCATGTTGACGTGTATTGCACCTGGCCATTGTGTATGCTAGTGTTGGTTGTAAAGAGATCCCGCCCACCCATAACGCCACAATGAGGATCAGGAGGGGTAAGCAGCTCCTCACCTGGGTTGGGTCAAGTGGCCTCCGAACTTCTGACGTCACCCACGCTATAAATATCCTCAGGTAAACCGATATCTTAGGATGATCAAACGAAGCCTCAAAACTGAGCGTGTTTTTCTGCGCTTTCACCCTCTCCCAACACTCACTAATTAATTAATAATTAAGTGGCGCGCACGTCTAATATCCGCTGACAATACCTAAAATAAAATAACTTTTAAGGGTGCTTGTGTGAGGTAGTGAATGGAAGGAGGTGGAAAGGGTGAGGTGATCTCCAGACAGTCTTCAGGTGCTCTTGTTGGCTGCATGTCTGAGAAGGGCTGAAGTAGGATCTTCCCTCTCCACCAGGTGCGTGCTGTGACTCACCTGCCAGTACCCACCTGTTGACAACATCACCCGTCTGTTGACATCACTCCCCTTTTGACAACACAATACTCCCCTTTTGACAACACAATACTCCCCTTTTGACAACACAATGATCACCTTTTGACAACACAATATCAAGTGAAGGTATCCAGTACGTCTCTCATCACATACCAGACAGGATATCAAGTGAAGGTATCCTGTTTGTCTCTCATCACATAACAGGATATCAACTCATGTTATCTTGTTTGTCTGTGGTGGCATATTAACCTCAGTGAGCAACAGAACCTTAAATAAAAGAGGAGGGGAGGAGAGGAGAGGTGGTGAAGGAAGAGGGAATGAGGGGATGGTAAAGAAGTGGAGAGAGAGAGAGAGAGAGAGAAAGAAGAGAGAGAGAGAGAGAGAGAGATTCCCAAGTAACCTGAAGAGTTGTAGTAGTAATAGAGGTTGTAATTGGTGGTAGTAGGGTTGTATGTAGTTGTGTTAGTGGTAGAGGTTGTATTAGTTGTGAGGTGGTGAAAATTGGTAGTAGGGTGGTAGTAGAGGTTGTAGTGGTGGTAGTAGAGGTTGCAGTAGTTGTGGTGGTGGTGGTAGTAGAGGTTGTAGTAGTTGTGGTGGTGGTGGTTGTGGCATAAATCATGAAAGAAAAATCAAGGTTTTGAGCCATTCTGTTCCCCGCCTCTCTCCCTTCTTCCCTCCCTACCTCTCATTCTCCCTCCATCCATCCCTTTCATCGTCCCTCCGTCCATTCTTCCCTCTTTATCTCTCCCTTCCTCCCTCCCTCCTGTAGTCCCTATCTCCCTCCCTATCATCCCCCTCCTCTCCCCCTTCCTGCAGTCTGCCTGAAATTGAGAAGTGTGTATATTGCAGAAATGGATGTGTGTGTTTTGTGTGTGTGTGTGTGTGTGTCAGTAAACAAACGCATATATTTCCATGTATTTATACAGCCCATGCATGAGAGGCAGTGTAAAGGTTTTACCATTCAGGAGTAAAATCAATACGGCCGGGTTTTAATTTTCTGAAAACAAAGTTGAATGTTTGGATATTTGTTTTCAGTTAATTTGACTAAATTTGTTTCAGTTAATTGTTCCAGAGTGAATGTTTAAACTACGATGTCTGAGAAAATGACAGAGTTTTTTTTTTTTGCCAAGATTTGATCATCAGTGTCATAAAGATCCTCACAAAAGACGATTCCATAACAGAAAATATTCTTCGACGAGGAGTTGTAAACATTGACGTGAGAGAGCCTTAAGGATGACCCTCTCTCCCCAACACTACTTTAGATACAGGCATCAGATCCCATTCTCTCTCTCTCTCTCTCTCCCACAGATTCAACAACTTGTTCTACGTCTTCTTGGCTTATTTCCTCATCTCGATGGGCGCCTATGTGAACCGCCCCGTGCCCTGTGTGAGTTCCTGGCCTGGAAGTGTCGTCAAGCCCCTCTCCATCATGAAGCTTCCTGCCCTCAACATTATCTGCGTCGACGTTGCCGTCAAAGTACACCCGGGCGTGATCATCCAGGACTCCGGGGTAAGGACGAGGAGGAAGGAGCAGGAGGAGGAGGAGGAGAAGGAGGAGAAGAAGAAGTAAGAGGTGGGAGTATGGAGAGAAAGAGGAGAAGAGGGTGGGTTGGGGGTCTCTGAGAAGGGGAGGTCGAAGGTGATGGATGAGAAGACGGTTAGAAGAGGAGGGGAAGGGAATGGATGAGTGGGAGGGAGGAGGACGGAGTGAGGAGGAAGTGTGAAAGAAAGGTAAGAAGGACAAAGATTGAAGAGGAAGGCTTGTTGTTTGGGAGGAAAAAAAAAGAGGGGGCTAAGTCAAGGTACTGGGCAGGATGTTGTGTGTGCCAGTGAGAGAGGAAGAAAATGTCGATTGTGAGCTAGGAAGAGAGAGAGAGATGCGTGTATCTAAGAGAGAGAAAGAGACAGGAGTGAGACTGTGTTTGTGTGAGAGAGAGATGGGGGGGGGGGGTGTTACGCCAGACACTACCAATAAAAGCGCGCCAAAATAAAGTCACATAGACGAACTCTTCATATAAAAGACAGCCTCCCTTCTCCTACTTATTCTTAAAACACTGGACGACCCGGGTACTGAGAGCTCCCCGTCCCCACCAGGAAGGTATTCGGTATTCGTCGCTGCTGGAGGACTGAAGGACACAGACAAATAAAAAGATTTCCTGGATGTCAAAAAGGTTCTCCAGCACAGAGTGAATGGATGGATGGATAGAGTCTGGGTTATATTCTTGACACACACACACACACACACACACACACACACACACACACACACACACACACACACACACACACACACACACACACACACACAGAAGGAGATGACTTAGAATTGGAAGAAAATGAGTGAAAATGAAGGGAAATTAATTACTTTTCTCTCTTGCTGTCTCTCTCTCTTACAGTCTCACTCTCCTCTCCTCTCACTCTCCTCTCCTCTCCTCCTCTCCTCTCCTCTCCTCTCCTCTCCTCTCCTCTCCTCCTCTCCTCTCCTCTCCTCTCCTCCTCTCCTCTCCTCTCCTCTCCCCCCTCTCCTCTCTCTCCCCCTCTCCCTTTCCTGCCAAACCTTTTATTTTCTAGACACGGACGTTAAAACGACGAAGGGTTTAAGACTTAAGTACATCGCAGGTGTCAGGGTTAGGGAAGGGAGACAGGAAACTCAGGGTGTTGCCGAGTTGAGTGTTGGTGTTTTATGGTGGTGGTGATGGTGGTGGTGGTGATGGTATTGGTGGTGATGGTGGTGGTGATGGTGGTGGTAGTGGTGGTGGTGGTGGTGGTGATGGTATTGGTGGTGGTGGTGATGGTATTGGTGGTGGTGGTGATGGTATTGGTGGTGGTGGTGGTGGTGATGATGGTGATGGTGGTGTGGTGGTGGGATGGTATTGGTGGTGGTGGGGATGGTGTGGTGGTAGGTGATGGTATTGGTGGTGTGGTGGTATTGGTGGTGGTGGTGGTGATGGTGTGGTGGTGATGGTATTGGTGGTGATGGTGGTGGTGATGGTGGTGGGGATGAGTGGTGGTGGTGATGGTATTGGTGGTGGTGGTGATGGTATTGGTGGTGATGATGTGGTGGTATTGGTGGTGTGATGGTATTGGTGGTGGTGATGATGGTATTGGTGGTGATGGTATTGGTGGTGGTGGTGGTGGTGGTGGTATTGGTGGTGGTGGTATTGGTGGTGGTGGTGGTGGTGGTGGTGTTGGTGATGGTGGTATTGGTGGTGGTGGTGATGTTATTGGTGGTGGTGGTGATGGTATTGGTGGTGGTGGTGGTGGTGGTGGGGATGGTAATGGGTTAGTATGGGTGGGTGGTGGTGACGGTGGACTGGTGGTAAGTGGTGGGAGTGGTAATGGTGGTGATGGGGAATGAAAGTGGTGATGCAGGCGTTGTTAGTGGTGGTAGTGGTGTGTAAATGATGATGGTATAATATAACTAACTATATAACACTATATACTGTAATCCACTCTATGTAATCTAAAAATATAATTAAATAATTTCACAAATCGTAAATTAAACTGAATTAAATATTAAAAAACAAAAACAATATTTACTACACCATTAATCAATAAATTAGACACTTGTTTTATTGCTCTTAATAACTAGTACTTTATTAACGTGACTTAATTAACGCTGAGTGCACTAACTGTATTAATGATAGTCTAATTAATTTTACGAACCAGAAAGTGCAATTAATGCTCATTACAACAAGCACTAAGATGAAGTAAAAATACATTTATTGCAGTTTTGTTAAGAAGCTGAGCTCTCTCTCAAACCTAACCTAACCTAACCCCTCTCGCACTCCACAGATAACCACGGATCCCACATCGCTTATCGACGTCCTCACTACACCGAGGATCAACCGGTCAAGTGTGTTCGAAGTGGACCTTGACTCCTCCACCTCCACGTCGTCCTCCTATATGACCCTGGAGCCCGTGGGAGAGGACGAGGGGGAGGTTGAGCCACTGTTGGCGGTCGTGACGCAGGACCAAGGAGTGACGTCAGATGATGGTTTGACGTATGATGGTTTGACGTCAGATGATAGTGTGACGTCGGATGATGGTATGACGTCGGATGATGGTGTGACTCCTTACCCCGACGACTACACTGTCACCGTCCAGTATGTGGTGGACGGAGAGCAGGTGAGGGAGAGAAGGAGTTAGGGAGGGAAGGAAGGGAAGGAGAGGGTAAGGGAGGAATGAAGGGAAAGAGGGTGTGATAGAAAAAGGGAAAGGAAGTGCTTGGTGGTGGTGGTGGGAGGTGAAAGGAAAGAGAGGAGGAGGAGGAGACAGACAGTAAGAAAGGAAAGATGGAAGAGGCGGGGAGAAATGTGAAAGAGATGGATGAGAAGAGATGGAAAAAGGGGAATGAGAGGGAATTATAATAAAAGAGAGAAGGCAACAGGGTGGAGAAGGAATGATATTGAGAAGTGGGAAAGAATAATAATTGGAGTAATTGTGTAGAGAGACGAGGCGTTTAAACCCTCGAGGACGATGATTTAACCCTTTGGGGACGATGATTTAACCCTTTGAGGACGATGATTTAACCCTTTTGGGACGACGATTTAACCCTTTGAGGACGAGGTGTTTAAATCCTTGAGGACGATGATTTAACCCTTTGGGGACGATGATTTAACCCTTTGAGGACGATGATTTAACCCTTTGAGGACGACGATTTAACCCTTTGAGGACGACGATTTAACCCTTTGGGGACGACGATTTAACCTTTTGGGGACGATGGTTTAACCCTTTGGGGACGATGATTTAACCCTTTGGGGACGATGGTTTAACCCTTTGGGGACGATGGTTTAACCCTTTGGGGACGATGATTTAACCCTTTGGGGACGATGATTTAACCCTTTGGGGACGATGATTTAACCCTATGAGGACGATGATTTAACCCTTTGAGGACGACGATTTAACCTTTGGGGACGATGATTTAACCCTTTGGGGACGATGATTTAACCCTTTGGGGACGATGATTTAACCCTATGAGGACGATGATTTAACCTTTTGGGGACGATGATTTAACCCTTTGGGGACGATGATTTAACCCTATGAGGACGATGATTTAACCCTTTGGGGACGATGATTTAACCCTTTGAGAATGATGATAATATGTTGTCCCTTTTGTCCTTCAAGTGCCAGAAAAATAACTTTCACACCAAGTTAATCCTTTAAGGTCATATATACAGGGTGACATTTGACCTATTGAGGGGAAGGCACGTACGTCACCTCCTAGTTACACCTAATGATTATTCTCACCTGAGTTTGTTGAGGTGTAAAGGCGAGAAAGTTGGCAAGAGATTGTTAAAGAGAGTGACTGGCATATATTACGATGTGCTTTTTTTTGTTTGTGTGTGTGTGTGTGTGTGTGTGTGTGTGTGTGTGTGTGTGTGTGTTTACGTAAGATGCTGGAACAAACACACAACACCCTCAAGATGCCTCATAATCCTCCGTGTTACGTAGTTGTTATTTCTTTTCTTCTCCTCACCGCCATATCCGGAAGCAGCTGAATTTAACGTTGCTGAGATGAGAATGGGATACACGGTCGCCGAGAGACAGACAGGATGGTGTATTAGAGAGAGAGAGAGAGAGAGAGAGAGAGAGAGAGAGAGAGAGAGAGATGTAGGGGACATGAAATAACTGTCTTGTCGGGGGGAACCGGTTGACGGTAATGTGATGTGTGTGTGTGTGTGTGTGTGTGTGTCTGTGTGTGTGTGTGTGTGTGTGTGTGTGTGTGTGTGTGTGTGTGTGTGTGTGTGTGTGTGTGTGTGTGTGTGTGAATCATAACCAAATATAACCTAGGTTAAATTAAAAAAATAAATAAATTAAATAAACTCATACATGAATCTTCGAATAGGATGAATCGAAACGTGATTTGAAGACGAGGAAGATAAAACATAAAATGAATTCAATAGAAGAGGAACAATTACTTTAATGACCGAACCTTCGAGAAAAAAATAATCATGTTTGTGAGGCTTCGAAGAAAGTGTTGACACAATTATAAGTCATTAGCAATTCAAATTATATCCAGACTCTTGTTGGCGGGAGATGATTGGGATTAGTATTTTGTCGTAGTACTCGCTAATCCCCGAAAACACCTGATTGGAACCTGGTTTAATCGCACCTAACCTAACCAAATTCACCAAGTTAGTGTGAAATTTAGTATTTTGTTTTGATTTAATTTTGCTCATTTATTATAATATATTTTACCTCAAATATATCTTGTTGTTACCGGTGCCTCATGCAACCAACCAGGTGATCTGATCCTCCTGTACACCAACACACTCCATTGTCGTCTTACTCAATCCCCTTTGTTCGCGCTGGTACACCCCCCCCCCCCTACTCCCCTCCCTCTTCAGCTTTCATTAGTGGCCAATATCACTCCTCTGTTAATACATTTTTGTGATATTTTCAGAAATATATCTCTTTTGTATAATTCTACGATGATTTTATTGTTCAAGTTACAACAATACGTCGTTCAGGTCTTGTATGTGTTTCAAGTAGCAATAAAGCTGCTCTCGAGTCCTTCTCATCTTCTCATATTATATTCCCGGTTGTTGACGACGTCCTGGGTGATGGCCTCGTTAGCGTCGACTAAATTCGTCCTTCTCATTAGTGATAAGGCAGAGCTCAGGTGTTAAGGTACTGTATGTTGTCTGAGAAATTCAGGATCGAGTGGTTCAGGTAATGTGTCCTGCCTGTGATCTTGCTTTGACGTTTGTAGTACAAGCCTGTTCCCGCCGCCAGCTTTCATCTTCAAGGCGGAGGACCTGGCGATATGGATCAAATCACCGTAAAAATAGGCATAAAACTGCCATCAGGTCCCCGGGTCCTTGATTGACAATGAGGTCACATTTGTTCACTGACGGAGGAGGAAGCGAGATTATTATAATTCGTCTCACAAAACGTGGTGGGGGTGGGGGGGGGGCCTTCAGTATCTACGTTCAGCTGATGAGACGTCAATAGGTGCTGTTCTCTTGGCTGCGGGAGTGGGGGCTGATGGGGCTGTGTTGGAGGATGGTGGGTCTGTGTTGGTGATTCTGGTTGTGGTGGGGATGTTGTTGGTAAGACTGTGGCGTGGGTGTGTGTGATTACAATTCTCCTTGACACAGTAGTAGTAAAGAAGGTGTTTTGATTTCTCTCTCTCTCTCTCTCTCTCTCTCTCTCTCTCGTGTATAACTTCCTTCCATTTCTCCCCCCCACACTGCCCTTTCTATCCGCGTCCTTCTCTCTCGCGCCAATGAATGATTCAATATGCAGATGGTAATTTGCATATTTCCACCTGGTGTAGCAAGTTACCTGAAGAACCCGTCACTTGGCATTGATTATGTACACGCGCCTCGCACACACACACAGGCTAACTACCTAGAGGCTAACGAACCTGCAGGCCAAAGCTTTCTATTAATTACCTTTTCTAATTACCGTTAATACGTGCTTTGACATGGATAATCACGCGTGTCGTAGTTAACGCGTCGTGATGACAATAATTAGAGTGGCTCAAAACCGTACAGGTGAGATCTAGTGATAATGTGTTCAGTTGGTTGAGTGTCTCCGTCAGGTGGTAGTAACATCCAATAAGGTGGCTGACGCGTATTATTACCTGGACAAATACTAATAACAGGTAATAAGGAGGTAACCAGTAATGACTCTATCTTTACCTGTTTTATACCTTCATATTAGACCGTAATTGGAGGTATGTCATCTGTAAGTTCCTAATCCTCGTGGAAGTAATATATATTTCTGGGAGAGAGACAAGAATAAAGAATTAGATTAATGTGGGGAAGAAAAGATGGTGAGAAGTTACTACAATATATCTGAAGGTGAAGGAGGTTATTATGAGAGATACTAATGAATGTGTGGGCGATCTATTCGACTTAGGTCTTTATTGCCACAACACCTACGAGGTCTTAGGGTCTTACTGTGTATGTATAACTGTTCATAGGGGCATTTATAAACAATGGTATTTATGAGTTTAGATAGATTACAATTCCATGTAGATATACAATTACCTGAAGTAGTGAAGTTTTCTCTAGTACGTTCGCCCATTACCACCTGCCACTGCTTCCCTACCAGGTGCTGTACTTGGAAATTTAAACAACAAATTTCACAAATAACAATATTACATGAGTAAAATGTATTGATATTTCCTTTAATAATGCTGTAATCCTAATTCATGGCACTGGACAAAACACTGGTACTGTATCCACCCGCCTGCTTCACCCACTCTTACAGCATACACCTTTGAACCTAACGGGACCATATACAACACTTATCAGCCTCTTCTTCCTCCTCCTTTAAGGTATCCGTGACCTTGTCCAGTGAGGTGAACGATCTCCTCACCGCCTCCGTGACCTCTGACCCCTTGACCAGTGACCAGGTCAATCACCTGCCTTTACTCTTCACCTGTTATAACAAGACTCATGATCTGGAATTGACGGCGATGAACAAAACTTTCTTCATCACCAAAATTATCAAGAGGTGGGTCGTGGGAGTCATTATCATCATCATCATCATCATCATCATCATCATCATACAGGGTAAAATTGCATGTTTTTTTCATATAGTTCTCATCATCATCATCACTATTACCACAGGTTTACTGTATATCATTATCTTCAATATCACCATCGTATCACAATGAGTCACTTTCATCGTGTCTAAGTCACTATCCCTACTGTCACCATCATTATTTCTACAGGTCCATCACTATCACCACAGATCTAAGTCACTATCATCGTGTCTCCCATGAGTGCAAGTCACTATCCTCACTGTCATCATCATTATCACCACAATTCTAAGTCACTATGCTCCCTGTCACCATCATTATCACCACAGATCTAAGTCACTATCATCGTGTCTCCCATGAGTGCAAGTCACTATCCTCACTGTCATCATCATTATTACCACATCTACAGTAAGTCACTATGTTCACTGTCACTATCATTATCACCACAGATCTAAGTCACTATCCTCACTGTCATCATCATTATCACCACAGATCTACAGTAAGTCACTATCCTCACTGTCACCATCATTATCACCACAGATATTGGCCGAACAAGCCCCCGAGTGCCATGGCGGCAGTGAACCCGTACATATTGAACATTACCACCAACGACACGGCTAAGGGCCCCTGCTACTGTGTCCTGTGGAGGGCCCCTGAGCCTAGGAAAGGTGGGTCTCTCTCTCTCTCTCTCTCTCTCTCTCATTATCTCAGGTTAATTTCTCTCCCGTTTTGCGATACCTTTAGCATTTATTAAATAATATAAACATTCTCACAAGTCTTTAAGTGTGTGTGTGTGGAGTGGTGTGGTGTGGTATGGCGTGGTGTGGTATGGTGTGGTGTGGTGTGGTGTGGTGTGGTGTGGTGTGTGGAGTGGTGTGGTGTGTGGTGTGGTGTGGTGTGTTGTGTTGTAGTGTGTGAAGTGGAGTTGAAAAAATACGATTTCTTGCTTAATGGTTTGCTTGATTATTACTCCACTCCAGATTTCATGTCAAATTAATCACCGTCAATGCTTTAATCAATTCTTGTTAAAATCTGGGAGATAAAATCCTGTGGACCCCCCCACCCCCTTAACACGAGAGCAGGACATATGAGGAAAGCAATCTAACTTGTGCCAGCACTTGAGAACGGGAGGAAACTGCTTGCCCGACTTTAAAAAAAAAAAACGAGTTTGTCTTGGCTCTCGACACAGTGAGCTCTGCTTGTCGGTTATTATAGTGAAGTCTTCTTACGCTTGTCGCCTCATCTGAGGAAAGAAAAGTTATCGTTTTAGTTTCTTGAGAGAGAGAGAGAGAGATGTCCTATTACCTGTACTTTGAGACATTGATAAACTAAAACCTCTAACTTATTTCTTTACTCTCCTACTTCACCTAGCCCCTGTTCTTCCTCCGTCAGGTGAGATGAAGATCGGGGGAATGTACTCGTCGGAGATATACTTCTACGTGAGGGTGGTGTGTGAGGGCCTGACCTTCCTTGGCTCTTTGGCTTACCTGATCGGAGCTGCTAATGAGGCCAGGTTCCAAGGTGGCAAGATGTTCGTCGAGAACCTGGTGAGTTGGTGGTTGATGCTGGTAGGTAAGGAATTGGTGGTTGATGCTGGTAGGTAAGGAGTTGGTGGTTGATGCTGGTGGTAGGTACTGGTAGGTAAGGAGTTGGTGGTTGATGCTGGTGGTAGGTACTGGTAGGTAAGGAGTTGGTGGTTGATGCTGGTGGTAGGTACTGGTAGGTAAGGAGTTGGTGGTTGATGCTGGTGGTAGGTACTGGTAGGTAAGGAGTTGGTGGTTGATGCTGGTGGTAGGTACTGGTAGGTAAGGAGTTGGTGGTTGATGCTGGTGGTAGGTACTGGTAGGTAAGGAGTTGGTGGTTGATACTAGTAGGTGCTGGTAGGTGAGGAGTTATTGGTTGATGTTGGCAAGTGCTTGTAGGAATTGGTGGTTGATGCAGTTAGGTACTGGTAGGAGAGAACTTGGTGGTTGATGTTGGTAGGGGAGATCTTGGCGAGTTGGTGGTAGATACTAGTAGGAATTGGTGGTTGAGGGATGTTGGTGGGAGAGGACCTGGTTAGTTACTATGGACGTGTAGTATGTGGTTAATGTGAAAATATGTGTAGTTGTTAATGTGTACACGTATGATTATTATGAACGTGTGTCTGGTTGTCATGAACGTGTACAGCATGTGATTTGTATTCCCCTTCGTGTGTCCTGACTGCCACTGCCACCCAACCAACACTCACTGGTTCCTCCTCCTCCCCTCCACCAGAGCACTGTGCCCTCCCGCGTGTTGTTCCTGCTGGCGTGTACCATGGTGATGGTGATGGCGGTGCTGAGGATGCTTTGTATGAGTGAGGCTGAGGACGTGGTGGCCATCATGGTCATGTTGTGTACGGGGCCATACTTCCTCTTCTTCTGCAGGTGGGTCAATTCGAGCGCAAGGTTTACCAAATGGCGCCTGATAACTAATACTCTATTAATTTTACATATTGAATATATGTATTGTAATTTCATGGAATTTTAAGCTTTATACTTCTATTATCTGAAACATATTGTAATCCCAAACACCAAGTTCGTGGAATTTACTTGAGAGATGTATCCCGAAACCTCGCGCGAGATTGAATATAACTTGCAGGATCTGAACGCATAGGCATTTCATGAAGTATATACCCCGCCCGAGCTCCCTTTGACTTGCGAACCCTTCCAGGAGTCACCCTGTGTTATCATCTTTCTCTCTCTCTCTCCTTTGATGGAGTCACTTGTCCCATCGAGTTATAGCTCACATTTTGTATGCAATAATGTTCCTCCTGGGTCAGATATTAATCGCGGCGGCGACTTTGATCTCCTGCACAGAGACTGGCAGGAGATGAAATTAAGATATGGCATACTTTTACTGTTGTGTGACCCATGTCTTGATGGGGCATACATATGAAGGAGCGGGAGGGGTGTTGTGGTACGAGAAAGGGGAGGTGAAGGTTGAGACGGAGGGGTAAGGGAAGGGGGGGGGTAGGGTAGGGAAGGGATGAAGGTTGATTGGGAGGAGGGGAAGATTGAGGGTTGAAGTTTAAGAAGCAGCAAGAGGAGAAGTGAAGGGAGAGCAGGTGAAGGAGAGGGGAGGAAAGGAGGTGACCTTTGATGAGTGAAGGTCTGCTCGTTCCATGAAAAGCGGCGTGTGGGAGAGAACGGGGAATTGGGTCGTGGTAGAGAAGAGGAAAAGCAAAAAAAAAGGAGAAAACGACAGAAATTATTATTGGGAAAATAAGAGACGAGAGAAAAAGGAAAAAATAATGTAAAAAAAAAAGAAGAAAAGAGACCTATGTATCCAAAGTGACTCAGTGTATGTATACAATCAATAACTCACAATGTATGTATCCAGTGAATCTCAATCCACGTATTCAGACAATGACGCCGTACATGTATCCAAACAGTCACTCATAATGCATGTATCCAAAGAGTGATTCACAGTGTTTGTTTCCAGTCAACACACAATGCTCAGTCCATAAAACCTAACTTAACTGGTACGTGTGTCTTCCCTACAGAGGATTTAAGACGGTGGGTCCTTTCGTCACCATGATCTACACTATGTTGGTGGGCGATCTGCTCAGGTTCGTCACCATTTACTTCGTCTTCATCATGGGTTTCTCGCAAGGTGAATATCCACTCTTGTTTACCCGGTGATCTGTTTACCTGTATGCTGTTTACCTGGTGGTCTGCTTACCTGTATGTTTGCTTACCTGGTGGTCTGTTTACCTGTATGTTTGTTTCCCTGATAGGTAATTATGACCCTAATCTAATTTTTATTGTGTGATTTACTTGTATCCATCTACCTATGTTATTTCCAAGGGTGATTAAGTTATCTTCATCTCTCCTTATCTGTTTTCAAGTGTGAATTACTATAATTATCTCTCATCTCTTTGATTTTAATTATTATCTCTTATGTCTCCATATCTGATTCTCAAGTATGTCTTAATTATCATCGTCTCGCTATATCTCCTCCATTCTATCGTTCTCCACCAGCTTACTACATCATCTTCAGCTCCTTCCAAGACATCGAGGACAGACCCATGTGTGTTCATAATCCCATGCCCACGGCATCCGAGAGTATAATGCTGATGTTTATAATGTCGCTGGGAAACTTCGGCGACGTGTACAACGCCCTCGAGTGTACCGACCACGAGATATCTGGCAAGGTGAGAGAGAGAGAGAGAGAGAGAGGGAGGAGACGTGTACAACGCCCTCGAGTGTACCGACCACGAGATATCTGGCAAGGTGAGAGAGAGAGAGAGAGAGAGAGAGAGAGAGAGAGAGAGAGAGAGAGAGAGAGAGAGAGACGTGTATCAGTTACTTCAATGCACCGACTTTGAGATTTTTAACGTGTGTGTGTGTGTGTGTGTGTGTGTGTGTGTTTATGTTGCAAGAACAACACATGATATTAAAGTTAGAAATGATTCCTAAATTGCACATTTACCCTAGAAAAATTATATAAATAAAAATTGTATAATGTGGATTAATTCAACATGAGTGAACCTTTTGTAAAGTTACAGGTGTCACCTCTCATTCCCCCCTCCCAATAACAAACCCCACTAGTAAACACATAGAATTTAAAATGCAATGAAATAGTGTATAGTATAACGTGATACATAAAAACATATAACCCATTTATATTAAAAGGAATCAGTTAGGTTAGGTTATGATTAACTGAACTGAAGCTGGGTGCGTGAGTGTACTGTACAGTCTCCTTCACTAGTGCATTTACAGGGGCTCTTCAGGTTTTATGCAGTGTGGCAGCCCTGTGTTTGTTTACATTCGACAGAAGGAAACTCACAATAGTAAACGTACTATGGAATCAAAGTAAAGCAAGATTAAAAAGAAATATCTCAGTGTAATGAATTGTGGAATGTTTATATGATGAGCCCCTGTAAATGCACAAGTGAAGGGGACTGTACATTGTAAGTATATTACACACCAACCAGCCAGAAAGTAATATCTCCGTTAGCTGGAATTCCTCAAACCCGGAACTCTCCGATAGCCAGAATTGAAATTTTCTCAGAAAATCTTTCCCTAAGCTGGAATTTTCCAGAAAATTATGGCATAGGGAACAATTCTCCGAGGGGCACATTTTCTGGAAATTTACGATAAAAATTTTCCCGATACCTGGAAAATTCGAGGGAGGGCTTTTTTTTTCATGGTTTGAGAGATGAAAATCAGGCGCATTTTCCAGAAATTCCGAGAAAAATTTTCCCGTACATACCAGGAAATTCCGGGGATGGGGAATATATTTCCGAGTTCGAGAGATGATATAATAGGCAATTTCTGCAACTTCCAATAAAATTTTTCCGTTACCCGGAAAATTCCGGGGATGAAGGATCTTTTCCGGCTTTGAGAGTTATTACCCGGAAATCTCTCATTCCCGGAAGTGCAAGGCCCCAATTGTTCCAGCTGACGGAGATATCACTGTATTCACCACCCGGGCTGTAATCCAGAAGTAGTCCAGGTCAGTGTGTACAAGTGTTTACAGGCTGATTTAGAGGCACAGTATTAGAGTGCAGTGATTCCTTTAAGCCATGATATCAAGGTATTCTTATTTGCTGTGTCTCTTTTTTCATCAATGTGACTGTTATTATTTTTTTTTACACAATTAACTTGGATGTATTAAACCTGACTAGCAACTGTGCTTCCCCTGAGGTGTAACTATTATCACCTACAGCGAATCTTACAACAGAAAAAAAGTCAATTATTCGTCAAAGTAAAAAATAAAATTATGTGAAGTATGTATAATATTTTTAAGTAGGTCAGAAAATATATGAAAGACATAATAGATATAGTTCAGTAAAGAGCACATGATCTTGTTGATGTTGTGCTTTTTCCTTCCTTCAACAACTAAGTTCATTAACCTTGCACACCAAGTTAATTCAGACACTGGAGGAAAAACAATTAAGAACAACAACATCTCTTGTGGTGAAGGCCATATTGTTGACGTTCTTGACAATAAACTGAGCGCCTTGGTTCCAGTCGTGGTTATTGTCAACATAAACTCTGAAGAGGAAACTAGTGTGTCCTGATGTTGATGTGTTTACCAGTCTTGTCTGTGGCTGTAGTTCTTTTGTTTAGAGATTTAGGGTCTCTGATTGGTCCATTTGTGAGATACTAGGACTCTTTTAGGCAATTAGTTCATTCGTTTCAATTTTAACTTCTTATGATCGCAACTCCCCATTGGTCCAGGCACGAGTTTCATTGCTTCATTCATCCCGGTTTTCGCCCATTTCAAGGAGATGATTGGTCCATTCCTTTCTGTTGAAAATTCGTTTTAGCCAATTGTGAGGAATCTGAGCGAGTTCACTGGGGGTCCGAGGGAGGGGGGAGGCAAGGGTCAGAGGTCAGGGGTCAGAGGAGCGTCTTGCACATTCAATTATCTCTACTATGAATAAATTAGATAAGGTTAGAGCGTTTTTGCCCTGAGTCTTGAAGGGGTCATGACGATAAATAAATCCCCTTAAATTAACTAGAAACGTAACAGAGCATCAAACTTAACTACAACATTTAACATGGCGTCCAGAATAACGTCACCAATTTACCTGTGACTTTAGGTGTTAATTGATACATATTTATTGAATGGAATCTTGGGGCTGTTGAGTCTGGCCATTTTTGTTATACGTGAGGGAGAATATTGCGAGTACTGGTTGCGTAAAGGGAGGGGGTCAGGGTGTGAAGGAGGGAGAGAGAGAGAGGGTAGGGGAGGGTGGGTGGGAGGGGGGAGGTCAGGATGTGAAGGAGGAGAGAGGGGAAGTATGGGGAGGTAAGCATGTGAAAGAGGGAGAGAGAGAGAGGGAGGGAGGGGGAAAGAGGAGGTCAGGATGTGAAGGAGAGAGAAAGAGAGAGAGAGAGAGGGAGGGAGGGTGGAGAGACTGGGGAAGAGGAGGAGGAAAACGCGGATATAGATAAGGGAGAAATATAGATAGTTAAAGAGGCAGGGAACATAGATAAAGTGACTTGAAAATTTAATACAGAGATAAACAATTATTAGTCGCACAGTAATAATAATAATGGTTGCCCCTCATGACCGTCCCAAGGGCCACGTTGGCGTGAATCTGTTTAACTTTAAGGTGAAGAAGCTGTCGCCAACACCACAACCACACCCTAAGTTAACGGTGTTGCATGATCCAGTGTCAAGGAATAGTCCGAGAAGACCGGACAACTCGCCAACTGCACTGGCTAACCAATTACTGTTGGGTAGACAGAGGGTTGCCCATATATCCTGCCTGGGGATTGAACCCAGGTCCACTCGCTTGCGAGGCGAGAATGCTGACCATTACACAACAGTACATAAATAATGATAGAGGAAGATAGGTTGAGTTTATCACTGTTGCCCGTAAGCTTATGCCTGTAAAGCATATCTGTACAGTTAATTATTTTACCTTTAACAATATTATGTTCATGATTAAACTTCAGTATGATTATAAAACGTGTATAACAGATTGACTTTACTGGTATTATATAACGTGTGTGTGTGTGTGTGTGTGTGTGTGTGTGTGTGTGTGTGTGTGTGTGTTTATTATAGCTTGTGAATTATTTATATTCTAGTGTGTTGGAGGATCTCTGTCTGTCTGTTTATTTTCATCTCTCTCTCTCTCTCTTTTCTCCCCAGGTGTTGTTTATGATCTTCATGGCCATCGTCTCGCTTTTACTCATCAACTTACTCATCGCCATGATGGGTAACACCTACGAACGAATCGCTGAGATGAAGAACGAGTGGATGAGACAGGTGAGTTGATGAGGAGACAGGTGACTAGGTGAGTGAAGAAGGGGAGTGTAGGAATAGAGGAATAGGTGGAGATAAATGGATGAGAGAGAGATGGATGGATAGGATAGGATTAGTGGATATGGGTGGGGTTAGGTGGATGCTGTAAATGGAAGATACGGGTAGGTAGGTGGATGAAGGCTGGATGGGTGGATAGGTGTTAATGGATGACGTACAGGTTATAAGTGGATTACAGGTATAAGTTGACTATAAATTGAATGAACTGGAGAGTGAATAAAACAAGAATAGGAGATGATACAGAGAGGACGATGATAAGTGGAATATAAACAAAGTCTTGTTGTACTATTCACACAAATATTCCTAATTATGAATGGGTCCTGGAGGCGGTGACGTCATCCGTGTAAACATAAGTGCGTGGGTGTTGTGACGTGTGGGAGATTAAACCCGGGATCTTGCTTGATTAAGGAGATTACGGCAGCTTCGTTTTGTATGTGTTGACCTGACATTACACACATGCACACGCACGCACACACACACACACACACACACACACACACACACCAGGACTCCCTGTTTAACTTTTAATTTCGTTGGTTTGCTGGCGGAAGTTTCTATATCTCACTAACTTATTTCTTACTAACTTTAGACGACTTGACTTGATGGTTTTAACTCTCTCTCTCTCTCTCTCTCTCTCTCTCTCCCTTTAACCCATTGAAAGAATAACCTTTTAGAATGTTGGAGCGTTTCCCAGGCCTTCAAGACCATAAAATAAGAGAATGAGCCTCGTATATTCATACATTTATTTATTTTTTACAAGTGACTGGAAAAACAAAATAAAAAAAACGTTGTTGCTAAAGGTAGTCTTTGATCCAGCTGTCGATCAACTGACTTTCCTGGCGCGTAATTGGCGGGTAAAAGTTTGGTTCTGCTACTGCTGTCATTGGCTGCCTGATCCCCTCTCACCGTCCCCCCCCCCTCCATGTATTAGCTGACTTTCCCAACACGTGATTGTAGGGTCACGTGCATCAGCTTGGTCTCTTGCACACAGAGGAATGGGGTCGGGGTGGGGTGGGGAGGAGACGAGGGGGACAGGTCGCGTCTCAACCCCGTCTTGTTTGATGACAAGTTCTGCAAGGGGCGGAGACCTGAGGGCTTCACACCACCTGACTCCACCTGTAATTATTGAGTTGTTTTCTGAGCCTTCTCTATTAATCAAGTTTGGTTGGAGGTCACCTATTATTAGAGAAGAGGTAATGTATACTGACACGAACACCCCCACCTTCTCACCCCTACCTTCTCACCCCTCCGACGACACACACACACACACACACACACACACACACACACACACTCGGCTCCCTCCTCACCTTGGAAACCTTCTATTTTTAACCAAGTTCGTGTTTACAAGTGCTGCTTCTAGCAATGTCAATATGGAGTCTTGAAGGTGAGGTAGTGATGGGTGTGCTAAAAGTAATGGTGGTGATATGGGCAGTGATGGTGAGGGTAGTAGTGAGAATGGTGTCTATCCAGCAGTAATTAGGGACCTGGATGTTAAATCGATTTGCGGATCGTGTTCGGGGTAATGGTTAGCCAGTGCTGTTGGTGACTTGTCCGGTCTTCTCTGACTATACCTTGACACTCGTTAACTCAGGGTGTGGTTGTTGTGTTGGCGACAGCTTCTACACCTTAAACAAATTCACGCCTAGGTGCCCCTTGGACCGGCCATCCTCGTTACAACCATTATAGTGATGATGACTCGTATGGTGGTGGCAGTGGTGGTGTAGATGGTAATAATAGTTGTTGGTAGTGGTGGGAGTGATGATGGCTCGTGGTGGTGGCAGTGGTGATGACTCGTGCGGTGGTGGCAGTGGTGATGGCTCGTGTGGTGGTGGTGATGGCTCGTGTGGTGATAGTGATGGTGGCAGTGGTGATGGCTCGTGTGGTGGTGGTGGTAGTGGTGATGGCTCGTGGTGGCGGTAGTGATGATGGCTTGTGGTGGCGGTAGTGATGATGGCTCGTGGTGGCGGTAGTGATGATGGCTCGCAGGTAGGATGATGTATTTCGGTATGGCAGATGATGGTCGGTGGCGGTAGTGATGATGGCTCGTGGTGGCGGTAGTGATGATGGCTCGTGGTGGTGGTAGTGGTGGTGATAATCTGTCAATGGTTTATCCTCCGTGTTGAACTTCACGAGTAAAATGAATCCCGGTAATCCATTTGAACTGTACTGTATATTTCACGCATTAATACCGTGTGTGTGTGCTATTCACCTTTAGTCTTTAATTCTATCATTCCTTCTCAGTCTCATCACAGACAGATAAATACAGACTGACAGACAAACAAACAAGAAAATACACACAGGTAAAGAAGACAGAAAAAGAGATGGATAAACAGCAAGACGGAACAGACTAACATAGAAACAGACAGAAACAGAGACAACTAAATAAACAGAAAAAACAGACGGTAACATTTATTCTCTGGATGGTAAAACTAAAATGTGTTATATGACCTTTTTTTTCATAGCTGTTTTATAAATATTCCAGTTCTCGTTGATATACTCAATTGTGTTATAGTTTTCACCTTGGTATTTTTTTTTTATTACTGTACACTTTATCTCTCTTGTTTGTTGTTTATGATAGGTATTTTCTCTTCTCGATTTTGTTAATATTGTTTTCAGTATAGATCTCTCTCTCTCTCTCTCCTTCCTTCCTTCTCCCTCAACACCCTCCTTTCTCCTCCCCCGTCCTCCCATCCCTCTCCCACTATCAGTCTCATCACTCCTCTCGATTTTTCCACACCCTGTCCCTCCCTCTCTTTCATCCTCTTTCCCTAACCATGTCCCTCTCTCTCATCTTCCAACCCCTACTCCCACCATCCCTCTCTCTTACCCACACCTCCCTTTCTCCTCACTCTTTCCCCCCCTCACCCCTCTCTTTTACACTCTCCCTTCCTTTCCCTCACAGTGGGCGAGGATCGTGCTGGTGGTAGAACGAGGACTTAGCCCAGAGGAAAGACTAAAGCACCTTATGACTTATTCTCAGCCCATGTCTGACGGCCGCCGCGCCCTCGTCTTGAGACTACACCAGAACGTAAGTAGTTCCTTCTCCCTCATCAGCCTATTGTAACTGTCCCGGTTGGTTCCTATTGTTCTTATTGGTTATCTTATGTCACTCACCTTACCTCAACCTTCTTTTTTTTTATCTCAGGACGAGGAGCGGGAGGAGATGAAGGACATTCTGGATATGAAGAGGGTCCATCAGAAGTATGTTCTACGCCGTAAAAACCGCAAGAACCCTTTTGCAGAATTCGAAGACCCCACCCCCACTGTCGTGAGGAAAGAGCCTCCCAAGAAAGTCTAAGAAAGTCTCCAGACGACTCCATCCCCCAGAAAACTAACGAAGGAGCCTCCCAAGAAATGTTATAAAAATTGCCTCAAGACGACCCCTCCCCGAGATACCTGACGAAGAAGCCCTCCAAGAAGGTCTTAAGAAAGTTTCCAGACGACCCATCCTCACCACAGACCCTGATGAATAAACCTCCCGAGAAAGTCTAAGAATCTTAAGACGACCCCATCTGAGGTCACGAAAAGGCCATGGTAAGGATAAAATCTTCACTGAAAGAAAATAAGGGAGAAGATTGTGGTGAGGGTAAGGGACAAATAGGTGACGACAGCAACGAAACAAGAAAACACAAACGTATTAATTTTTGTTATGCTATTTCTGCAGGAGACACATCTAGATTCATCATCATTATCCCGTCCAGAGAAGAAGACCATAGAAGATATATACTAAGATTAACTAGGAAACTTAAGAACGTGATCTGCCATTGATAAGATACAAGGTACAGAACGTCCACAATTTTTAGTGTTTTACTAAATACAGTAATAGTCAGATGTTATTCTTGGTATGTAGGTCTTATACAACTTTTATGGGGTATTTATACTAACGTTAGACGAGTAAAAATTTCGGTACTGTAGTAGATAAATTTTCAAAGATACAGTAGTTACAGGAGTAGTAGTAGCTAGAGGGTAAACTGTTCTAGAGGTGTTTTAAACGAAGTCAAATTAAAGAGATAAGATTTACTCTCGTCGTAGCCTTTGTAGTAATAACCTTGCCTCATATATTGTTCTTAAAGTTCTATGTTACAGTGTCTATAAAGCTCTTTGTTATATTGTTATTAAGATTAAATTATAATGTTAAAAGAAATATAAAAGTAGATTTTTCCCTTTTACTTCCTATACGACTCGGCGCGGTAGTGGTGGATAGGTGAAACTTTTTATAGAATGTCTAAACTCGTAGCCATATATGCTTCCATCACATGCTTGAGGTTATGTACTGTATTTTGAAAGGATTATAACATTTATATATTAGTATCTTGTGCAAACTAGCAATCAAAGTATACATAATTATTTCATATATACGAGTATATATATTCATTCTTGAAAAATATGCTTTGGTATGGCAGTAATTGCTTCTTTATTTATCTAGAGCGAGTTTAAAATACATAAAGTAGTTGGAAACGTCTTAGACTTCTTGTATTTTAATGAGAACTTGAGGTAGGGTGGCATTAGCTCCCCGCAGTACAGTAAGACTCGGGCGCTGGTAATGAATCAACAACCTTACAAAAGACATTATGGTGAATTATAGTGCAAGCCCCCTGTCATAGGCCCCTGAACATGACAGAAATCCATCAACCATTCCAGGCTCTCAGTCTAGTTGCTGTCCTTGGATAGTACAGTAGGGCCTCGTGTTAGGTTTGGATCACTCTAGGCTTTGATAAATGTCTAACACCTAACTATGCTAGATGTTTTGTTAAGAGAGTGATTGGAGATGGTTGTTTAAAGACATGTTAAAGATTATTATATCTGATATATATTATCTCTCTCTCTCTCTCTCTCGATTGCTGAATGCTACAAAATATAAAACCAAAAGCTTTAAATAATTGTTTACACCAGATGTAAGCTCGATGATTATTATCCTTTACCAATAAATAGTTACAAAAAGTAACTCATATTTGTGTTGTCATTGATTCCCTGTCTCTCTCTCTCCTAAGTTGCAGGAGGCGTATGATGAGAAACTGAATTAAACTATATAAAATACATTGGATATTCCACTTTTGTCCTGTCTGAAAATCTGTCTTGTTTTATGAGTTAAATCTCTTGTTTTATGCGTTGAATCTGTTTTGTTTTATTAGTTAAATATGTTTTGTGTTGACAGATCACAGTAGTTAAACTGTCAGCTGACTGTATGGTAGTGTTAGTGGTAGGTGCTTGTCCATATTGGCTATTCTAACCTAGAAAAGCCTAACCCAAGCCAGTCTATATTGATGCCAGTTTTAATGAGCCCTAACTGTAATGGCTTTAAGTCCTAATGGGTTCCAGCTTTCTGAATCCTAGTCCTAATGGTTAACTTGGGGCCTATTTTCACGATTACACTTAACCATTTTGTTATAACAGATTCACAGCCAAATATTGTGACTCGAGACACTTTATACATATGCAGTTACTGTGAAAACGACGCTGGGTTTGTTTACCTGAAGCACTTACAAAAAAATGGAAGCTCAGTAATCCATACTTCTCCTCTGAAGGCTTTAGTGCTTAATTTATTCCTGTAATGTGTTGACGATTTGGGGGAAAATAACCTGTGTTAATTTACATACAGAAAATGACAATTCTTGAAACATTATTATTATTTTGACTTTTTTCATAAAATTGGATTTTGTTTAAAGGTTTTTATACTAAGTGGGGGAAATACGTTGTGAATGTGATTTCTAAACTCAGGTGAAAGCGTTAGTTGGTTGGAGTGATGGTAAGCGGTCTACTCGTTAAGACACCTCATAACTGAAGTTTATTGGTCGTCTTCGCTTCCCACCGACAGCCGGTATAATAAATTCACCTTCAACAGCATCCATTAGTAATTTTTTATCGCATACGAACACACACACACACACACACACACTTAATCCATAGGTAGTGTTGCAAGGTTTGTGATGACATAAATTCGTCTCCCCAATAACAAAAATGGTGTTATATACTCCATTATATATACATACACCCACAAACACCACAATCAGTGTTGCCAAGTATTAAAAGGGAGAAGGTGTCATCCTATCCCTTAATACAGTCTCCCCTTATTACCCGACTCCTCCAGGCGATGTTAACTCTCTCTCTCTCTCTCTCTCTCTCTCTCCGTCCCTGGTATCGTCACCTTTCTCTCTTTTTCCTTCTTTTATTCCTCGCCCTCTGCTCGTTCTTTCTTCCCCATTGCCTCGGGAATTTTACTGTTTTTTTTTCTTCTCCCTGTTTGCTCCTCCTTTTTACTTTCTGTCTCCTTTATCCTTCTCGTTCCCTTCTCTCTCCCTCTCTCCCTCTCTACCTCCTTAACCCGACACACCAAGATTATACTTTATACTCACATTGTTGTTGCTTCAGTTTACTTCAGGTTTACAAGGCAATGTTTCTGACCTAAAGCCGACCATTTCAGAGCTTCGGCGTGAAACAGTTCCCTTGGCGTCACTTAATACCTGTAGCTTACTTATGGAATACTTAAATGGCCCATCGTGTTACTTTATATGTAAAATACAGCCACTGCGCTTATACGTGTAGCTTACTTATGGGATACTTAAGACGGTCGGGGTACTTAAACTGTATGGGCCGTGGCGTCACTTTATACAGGGGATACATTCACCACACATATAGCGTACTTAAGGGATACTTATATGGTCTTAAGATAGTTGTAACTTACTTATAAGATACTTTACGATGGCCAGGATACTTAATTGGCCCTCACAGGAATCGTAAAGGAAAGAGGCACGCTTAAAGATCCATAAATATTACTGTACGGGATATTTAAATACTTACCATGTACTTAGATACTTATGGTACTCCGAATTTTCTTCTTCTTTTAATAGCCGACGGTATGTGTACTTTATACTATGTGTATACTGGCATCACGTATATGGTACTAGCACTATGTGTATATTGGCAGTACGTGTGTATTGATACCTCACCTGCTTCTTATCTGAGGTGAAGGAAAATACAGTATACACGAAGGCTGAAACGTCTACGCTATTTTTTTTTTAAATATTATAATGATAATATTGATTTACGTTATATAAGTCTCGTTTCTCGGACGTAGAATAATTTTATTGCGTCTGCTCCTGATCACTGAGTTACGACTTTCAAAAGATGTACCAGTTGTCAATGATCATTCTTCTATAAGCTGTTACAATAAACTCCTTAAAATATATTTGAAATGAAATTGATATCATTTTTATAAAATTTTTTCGTTAATAATTATTTTTTCCTTTGTATAGCGTATTAAGGTTGAGATAAATTATGAATTAACAACTTTCAATCACAAAAGTGTAACTCCTACTTGAGGAAGCCATCAAAACATACCGGGCGTGTGGTGTCTGTGGCCGAGTTTATTTATCTTACAAACGAATTCTATTGAGTGCAATTGCGACTTTTAGTGTGCAGCGGTTTGAGATGAAAATATTTATTATTGTGATGTTATTCAGGTAATGAAAAGACACAAGCGAATTGCAAACAACTATGTAAACAAAGATTAAATGCCCAGTCAGAGGGTTTAAAAGGAACGCTGTGAACTGTACTCGTGTTTGGAATATTTTAGTGTAGAGAACTCTTTTATAAATACGTGGACAAAAACAAAGTGTGGTGATACAGAGGTTTAGTGCTTTTATTTTACGTAATTATCGGTGTTTCCAGTGTAACAGGTGAAGTGAGAAATGAGAAATGAGAACGGTGAGAGGTGAGGCTGTGACGTCACCCGCCAACCGACACTAGCGCCACCCTATCGTGAGTACCTGAACTATGTAATTAAAATCCCATTAGCAAACTTATAGTTCTTTTTCTCTTACTACTACTACTATTACTACTACTACTAATAATAATAATACTAATAATAACGGCAACTAAAAGCGATTATCCTAACACTAGTGGGTGTTGACTGGCTCCAACAATACACGTAAGATGGTGTTGCCGCACTGCCAAGCTGATCCATTGCTAAGGATATATCGTAAATTAAATTGAAAGAGTGTCAGGGCGGACACAAATTTTACACCAGAGTAAAATGTGATAAAATATTTATGTAACACAACCACATTGCTATTCTACAATACTGTGTATATACAGTATACGTATATATTGTTTGGGCGAAGTCGGTACGCGTTAACCAATCATTCCTGTAACGGTGATCATGGTCACCTGATGATATTTTCACACATTTTAATTTTAATTTCCTTGTATACTATTTACTTATAAAAGAACAATTCGTGCTTCAGGTTACAGAGCCCCCTTACTGCCATACGATCATTTTGATAAATTGACTCTCTTGTGGTGATGATTTAGACATTTTCTGCATTTGAAATTCAATTGATTTCATACACTGGAATATATAATATAAATGTAAGGGTAAATTTTACTAGTCTTTACTAAAACAGAGACTATGTAAGCGGTAATTTAATATTCCTAAGGAGCAGGTTTGTGTTGTCATGTAGCTAGGCTCGAGTTTTTTCTATATGTAGATACTAGGCTAAGCTAACTCAGCTCGGTGATTGATAAAAAACCACAGACAAAAATAACGACAAAAATCAACAAGCAAACCTACCCTCAGTTCATTTACATTACCAGTGTTAAAAGTAAAACTTCATTTCCTGTGACTAATGTACGTATTTCCTAGCCAAAGTTGTGACATTAAGACATCCCGGAAATTAAATGTACTGTAACCAGGTGGCGTCATCCTGTAAGACATGACCTTGGACTTAGAGAAATAAGATTCAATAGCAAATTATTTTCTGGAATTAAGACTCAAAAGTTTAGCTTTGATATTCTTTATGTTCTAAGCTTCTTAACGAACACACATGAACAGTGACTAAGAGGATTAACGAACCACTTTACGAAGATTGAGAGAGTTAGATAATTTATTTTTAAATGTCATTGAGGATATTGTGAGTTTGTGTTATGTGTATGTTATAACGTTGTATAATATAATGAGTTGATGTAATTTGTGTAGAAATGCCAAGGGAATATTCTAATCACACACACACACACACACACAAACACACAAACACACACGTATGTTCAGTTTTCTGTTCAATTAAACGAGTAAATTGTGTTTTTAATCTTATAAACTTCAGGGAAACAAACGTTGCCAGGCTGGAGTTAAAACATTTTCCGCTCCGCACAGTGCTACCAGAACGCATTGCCACAACTATATAACTATACTAAACTAACTCAATTGTTACATACTGAACTATGATGCATTTTTGAGGCACTTGTTTCTTATATTATTTTTATGTTGTCATTATTATAGTTTTTTATTATACTTGTTGTGGTGTTAATACTCGTAGTTTACTCTTTTTTTTAAAGTAGTTGTTTCTGTAGCTTTTGTTGTAATGTAGTTGTTGTTGTTATAGTTGTTATTATTTTTGTAGATATTTTAGTTGATTGTGTAGTGGTACCGGGTAAATTATTATTATTATTATTATTATTATTATTATTATTATTATTATTATTATTATTATTATTATTATTATTATTATTATTATTATTATTATTATGTATTTGAGTTATGCACAAATTGAAAGTGTTCAGTAAAGATTTATCTCCCTTTTAGAAAACTGAGGTGAACTTATAAGCCAAGCTCAACACGTTAATTTTCCCCTCCAAGACAAAAGACTTTCTTAACGCTATTATCCACAAGTGATTATTCTCGTGAATTTGGTCTTTCTTATTTGTTTTCTAAATGTGTTTAATATCTCACCACCAGCCGCTGCGCCTTTTATGCTGCTTCACTTTCAGGAGTCAATTTTTGTTCTCGTAGTTTCGTTTGGAAAATGTTTTGAAATCGCGTTATTATTAATATTCTTCTTCTTCTTCTTCTTATTATTATTATTGGTAGTAGTGGTGGTAGTAGTAGTAGAAGAATATTATCCACCTTTTATATATAATCAATAATTTATATGTTTCGTAGGTACGTATTTTTTTTTAACCCTAAACAAACGAAATTCAGGAAACTGATTGAAAACTTGGAAGACGCCTGAGAGACTTAGGAACTAAGTTTATATGGGATCTGGGGGATGAATATATACGTATGGAAACTTCTGTCAGAACATATTATGTTAGCCAATCAAAACAGTCGAATAATGCAGTTCGTGGTTATTATTGGCTGCTTCAGAGTAGGATTATATTTTGGCAGATTATATATGTATGATTCTAGCTTTTAGTGAATTATTGATGCCTTTAAATCTCGGGGTCTGTAGAATAATTATCGTGCCGCTTTCTCTTGAGGTTCAGAATTTAACTCTTGGCTGGGCGGACGTGAGTGACCATCTCTTGGGGGTTTTGAACGTCAGTAAAAGCTCATCGGGTTGACCATGAGTGATCAGTTCTGTGGGCTGAAGCAAAGTAATAAGGTCATGGATTTGATGTGACCGAGAACACGTGGCTAAACACACAACCCTTCTCTTATATACTGAAGTTCTCTCCCGCACGAGCCAATTACCTAGTTTCCGTGTGATTACGTCGTTCGTGTTTGCTCTTTTGGCTGATGGAAGCGCGACCTTTATCCTCCTGTCGGTGTCCGTCGTCGTTTGAGCATGAAGGTCACGCCAATGTTCTGATGCAGTGGATGAATTCACCGATGGACTCAGTCTTTCTCTCTCTCTCTCTCTGGACGCCCGAGTCACCTGGATTTCCAGGAATTTACTGTGTTGACTAAGAAAGGAAAACATTGGAATTCAGTGCGGGTTGAGTTATACGACCAGTCTCATGAATCACTGGTATTTGTTGTATGAGTACGTCGGTCTGCAGTTTTCAGTGTTGTGGTCATTAGCGTTTGTGAATTTAGAACGAATTGGAATAATCAAGATCGGTTCAAGTCAGGGATAAACTAAATAGGATTTCGGTGCTTCATTCATTCAACTTGCATCTTGCTCAATTGAGGTAAAGGAAGCATTTGATCACTCAAGTTTATATAGATCAAATATTACGCAGAGATAACTTGTGCACGTCAGGTTAGTATTTGGAAGGCTCTCAATGAATCAGATGTTAGTTCTCTCTCTCCGCTACAACCAATGTATATCTGGAGGGATCAATTATCAAGCTTGGATGTGTGTGGGAATTGTTTGCGTCAGAGCTGGGTTCCTGGGTACCTACAGTAAAAGACATCAGTTTGATTTCACACTGACTGGAAATGGTGAAAGCGTAGAATTCGGTATTGCTTGAGATACACGCAGACCCTTGAATACATTCTCTATAATATTGTGGTGCTCCTCCTAACAGGCTCAGGCTATAGATTCCTACTGAATTATTGGGCTTATTCATAAGTGAAAAGACACATATACTCGAATCTCTTGTGTATACGCAAACCCACAGACATACATACAAAGACAATCACAGAAAAGGGGCAAATAGTGACACACACACACACACACACACACACACACACACACACACACACACACACACACACACACACACACACACACACACACACACACACACACACACACACACCACTGCTAAAGGCCACTGGCAAAGTTTTTAGATGATAAACTACCCACTGAGTTAAATTAATCTTGAGAGGTCAGAGGTCATCAGAAGCCTCGACCTTTAATGATAATAGAACAGTGAAGTTAATCCGTAAAAAAAATAAAGGGATTAGGGTATAAGAGTTATAAATGATGAGGGTAATTAGCACATTTATGCCGAACCTATTTTTAGCTTCAATTAGTTTGTATGCATTAGGGTTAATCTGATTACTTCATCTGTATAATGTGAACTGTGAATGGGTCTGTAACTTTGCTCTTTGGAGATGTGAAGGCGGTCGAGTGCAGTGTCGGCCAAAAGCTGCGTTAGTGAGTGCTTGTGTAGGAGAATGTTAGGGGTGAAGGGTAAAAAATTTTCTCAGTTTGCCAGTCAGTTTGTCAGTCATTCCTGGAGTTAACAGCCGCAGGTAGAGACGCTTAAGACGCTTAAGAGGTCATTTGGTCAAGGGAAGTCATGTGACCTATATAACCCCCCACTAAGCTCCGCCTCACTGTTGTTCTCAGGGCAGATTCAGGTGTGCTGGTTGGTTGCTGAGGGAGACGTGCCACACACACACACACACACACACACACACACACACACACCCCCCAACCTTATTACTGCCCACTGCTTGTCCTGTGGCGAGACTAAGATAACAACCACAACAACATCCAATCAACCATAATAATAACAACAACTACAACAAAAAAGAACTACAACAACAACCTCCATAACCACAACAACAATTACAACTACGAACTCTTTTATCATTTCACAATCCTCGTTGGCAATTATATCAACACAATGGGATAAATCCAAGCCAATTGATTTTCCTACCACACACACACACACACACACACACACACACACACACACACATTAAGAACAGGTGTTATGACAGAAATTTCGAGAATTAATTAAGAACGAGATAGAATTTGGCTCATTGGAATTATTGCACCAATTGTTTACCTCTCAGATCCTGGGATTTTGTGTTAATTAATGTTGAGGTGTACTCGAGGGATTGTTTGTTTACTTTAACAGCTGATGGAAGGTAAACAAGTCAGGGAGTTGAGAGTCTTAGGAGGTTTTCTTTTGCGATTATGAAATGGATTGAAGGATGTGTCAGATAGATAGATAGATAGGGTGAGAGAGAGTGTTATAAAATGGGAGAAGCAGTTAACGAGAGAGAATCACAAATAAACACACACACACACACACTACATTAAGATATCAACCAAAGGGATAATGAATTAAACTCCAGGTATTACTAGAAGTGGAATATTTATTATTTCATCTGGATGTTGTTTAAGGAGTGAGGAGGAGGCGGCCATGACCTTCAGCCTAGCACAGTATACAGGGTGTGACGAGGTGGGGTGACCATGGTCTGTGCCTTACCTCAACTCAACACTGGAAGCATAAGATAGATGAAGCACTCAGTACCCATTAGATATCATGACTATTATTATTATTATTATTATTATCGCCTAAGAAAAGGTTTTATATATATATATAAAATTTATATATAAGAAATAAAGTCTCATGACAATTATGTAAAACAACGGAAGTTAATATCACAGAAAATATTATTGCCTATAGCAGTATAAATAATAATGTCAAATATACATATATGTGCATTATTTCCTTTTAAAGTACAGTTCATTAGTGTTTTCTTTTATATATAACTCTCCCAAAAGTCCGACAACTGAGTCTTTCCAGTATTACCTGTTTCATCACCTGTTGATTTGATTTGTCTTAATAATAATAATAATGAGAAAATCCCTAAAAAGTCATAAATATCAACTACCTTATTTTTGATTACTAAATAGGAACGTAATTTATACCTATGGCGAGTTTTTTATTTAATTTTATTTTTTCCAATAATCAAAGATGATAATATGGAAAGAAAGCTTGTCTATATACATTATGTATGTGTATGCCCCAATGAAGTCGATAAGTTGTCTTAAATTAGATATGAAATAAAGTGAGTATAGTAGGAGTTTGATTGTCACCTCAAGAAAAAAAATCAGCTCAAAATAATACAAAGTGGGTGATTATTTATCTCTCTATAATCTTTTTCCTATCTATAATCCTCATGTAAACCATCCTTCTATCTAGGACTCTCATTAGCAAAAGGCTCCTCTAACTAGCAGAACTCTACTAGCAGGGCCTCTTAACTAGCATTTGCAGAGGACAAACACTAGAAGATTGGTCCGGCACTTAATAACTTGTTCTCAAAGGCGTCATCTTGCCTCTCGTAGGTCACCCCAAGCAAGATGGTCTTTTATCGTCTCTAACACCACTGGAAGTAAATCTCTCCATTACTACCGTATTTCATGACGGGCGGCACTAACGCTATGGTGGCTGCGGCGGCGGTAATACGGGATGGCTTGACGCGAGTGTGTAGCTGCGCGGTAAAGCACGTTATGCTAAACTTAAGCTTTTAATTGCTTACTGAGGAACATGCACGCAGATACTCCAGCAAATTATATATATATATATATATATATATATATATATATATATATGTTGATGAGATGAAAGGCTTTATCATCTCCGAGTTCCAATTTCGTACTAGGATCTGATAACAAATTCTTTCAAAAACAGAACTCGCTGAGGATCTAAAAAATAGTAAATGTTTATGATTTTTTGATTATCGATAAAAAATCTCGTTTACTCGTTATTGGAACTGAAGTCGTCGCTGACTTTGCCGATACAGTATTTGCCAAAGTTTGCAGAGGCAGAAAATATCTAATTTTTGGTGGAAAGTTTCTGCTGGGTCAGAATTAATACAAGCTCCCAGTTAGCATTGGACGATTAATTAAACGTATTTTTAGATACATACATACTGTACATACACACACACACATGTATGCGCATGTAAGCACACACGTACATACATACACAAACGTCCACACTTACTATATGTATATATTGGCAGGAAGTAGGCATGGCAGGAAGAGCAGTATAAGCCAGCAAGTGCAAGCCATGGTGGAGGGAGGCCAAGGATGTCACGAGTGTCATGAAGTGTCTCTAAGTGTCATGCCGTGCCACTGAGTTTTACGGGGGGTATCATGGGATCACAGGGACTTAGGTGTCATGCGTGTCACGGATGTAGTTGGGTGTCACGGATGTCATGGGGGTGTCACGGATGTCATGGGGGTGTCACGGATGTCATGTGGGCCAATCGGTTGTTGAGGAGGGTCATGGGTCATGTCATGGGATCTGATGGGGCGTCGTGGGGTGTCATGGGGGTATTGTGGGGAGTCAGGATGTCAGGATGTGCCACGGGGTGTTATGGGGGTCAAGGGGTGTCATGGGGTGTCATAAGGGGTCATAGGGTGGTGGGGTCTGGGATGTCGTAGGGTGTCAAGGGGTATCACGCTATTTGGTTGGGTGTCACATTGTGTCATGGGTTGTCATGGGTGTGTCATCGGTTATCGTGGGGTGTCAAGGGGTGTCAACAAGGATGAGGGTGGGAGGGAAGGCACTCAGTATCACCAAAGAGAAATAAAATCGATCTGCCTTAGCTGTGACTCCTGTGAGGGTAGAGAAGCTTGGCAAAGTATCTTGGTAATATCTAAGACAGGTTGGAAGCATCTTGAGGGACGAAATCGAATTTAGACATTCCTTATAATGACGTCACATACGTAAACAAGCACCTAATGGCGTCACATACGTAAACAAGCACCTAATGACGTCATGTCCGCAAACAAGCTTACGTTACATCCCCCAACAAGCACTTGATGTCATGTTTGGAGACTAGCACTTCAAGACGTCACAAACAAGCACAATACAACTTCACGTCCGTAAGCAAGCAAACAAATAATTCACATTCGTAAAGCAAGCACATAGGACGTCACATCCCTACGCAAGCACAGTTCATACGGGCGTTTGTCTACGACACCAAAACTTTCTTAAATGTGTATGTTTGAGTTTGTTTACTTAAGAGATACGGAGGAATTTGGACGTTTTTGAATGAACACCAACACTTTATTTACGAATTAAAGAAAGTAATTTTCTCTCTATTCATGAATGTAAAAAAGATTAACTCTCTAGAACTAAGAAAATCTAATCCACTCTATGGATAAGAAAATCAAATTAATTTTTGCTTATAAATCAACAAATCCAATTCATTATATACATTAGATTAAGTCTTTGAACTATCACTAACTCGGGCTGTTATGGCGAATAGAATCATATAGGTGCAAAAGCTCTCTTGCCTTACTCAGTGTAGTTAGTTAAGTGTGAGTATGTGAGTACTAAGCGTTGATTATACCTGCGTGAGACACCTGTCGTGAGGGATAGCAGGTGAGACCTTAAACCTATGCAGATGGTTTTATAAATAGAACATATCTCTCTCTCTCTCTCTCTCTCTTTCTCATATTTTTTGTATCTCTATATCACTTTTTTTATTTCGATCTCACTCTCTCCCTCTTTCTCGACTTCACTTTATCTTTGTATCACATTCTTTCTCTATGTCTCACTCCCTCTATCTCGATCTCACTTTATCTCTATATATCTTTCTCTATCTCTATCTCTCTAGTCTAGATAAATAAAACATTCATAGTGACGATAACAATAACCAGTGTAAATCGGATTGGTTTTTTTGTTTTTTGTGTATGTGTGTTTGTTTTGGTGGATGCCGTGGTGGTCTGTGTAATGGCGTGGACTATTATTATTATCATTATTATTATCATTATTTTTGTTCTCATAGCACCAGTGTTATGGCTACGTGGGGATTGTTCTTAACGCACTAGTGGCCACGCTTGGTTTGTTCTTGTACTGTGCATATGAATGGCCACACTGGATTTTTCTTATACACACGAATGGCCACGTTGAATTTTTCTTATACACGTGAATGGCCACATTGAATTTTTTCTTATACACGCGAATGGCCACATTGAATTTTTCTTGAACACGAAAATGGCCACACTGGGTCATTATTATACACAGGAATGGCCACACTGGATCTTTCTTGACCACGCAATTGGCCACACTGGGTTATTCTTATATACACGAATGGCCACATTGGATATTTCTTGAACACATAAATGGCCACATTGAATTATTCTTATACACACGAATGGCCACACTTGATCGTTTTTAAACACATTAATGGCCACACTGAATTATTCTTATACACACGAATGGCCACACTGGGTCACTCTTGAACACATCAGTTACCAGAGTACATCATTTTGGAACACAACAGCGGCTAAGTAGAATGGGGTGAATATTAATCATGACGTACCTTTAACCACGTTTGGCTCACTCTCGAATACCTCTCACTTAGGTCTTGTACCTCCTGAGAAGAACCATCACAGCATCCACAAAAGCCTCGGGAATTAGAAGAAAAAAAAAAATATATATACGCTAATCTATAACAAAACGCATTGCTGTTGAAACTTCTTCAGGATATCAAATACAGGATGAATCAAAGCGATATCATGAAGAGGTCAGTCAGGTCACATCTGTCTGCCTCTGTCTCTCTCTGACCAGCTACTGAGGACCACTAACGTAGAGCCACTTGTGGATAGTATTTTCACCTGCCCTAAACATCCGGCCAGCTGCTGAGAGCTATTGACAGAAAAGTCAAACGTGAGGTGATTGTGAGTATATGAAAAAATGTAGACATGTGGGTTGGTGGAGTCATGTGGCGTCAGCTGCAGTACACCGCCGACCACTGTGGGCGGTGGGCCACTGTAGGGCTTTGAGCTTGTCAGGAAAATTCACTTTTTCATATAACTTGTAACTCATCTGTGTTGCTTTTTGGGGGAAGGTTCGTGTTTCTTGATATGGCAGTTATTGTCTGACATTATATGGTTTGTTTATTTACCTTTATTATTATGACTTTTGTGAAGACTGCGTACTGCATCACAAAGGTGATTACAGGGATCAAGGCGGGAATGATCTTGTAATTATTCTTTGAATGGAAAACATGAAGACTCAGAGGTAGTATTACGTTCAGTGAATGAGGCGTGCGTGCCTACTACTGGGTAAAAATACAACTGTCAAAGATAATCATTGAAATGTTGATCAGGTGTGACGAGTGTACTGTACTGTACGGTCGTCGCCGGTGTAGAAGTTACTGAAAGCGGTGGACTGATATTAAATAAGAGTTATCTGTGGTGATGTTTGTGCTGTGATGCCGCTAATGACGAGGATTGAGAGTGGTACTTGATGCCAGGTCCACAAAGTTGAGGCGAGGAAGCGGTAATGTTTTGTGCTGTAATCTGAAGGTAGTGAGAAGATTAAAGTGTATTATAACTACCATCTTGGAATTACTATAGTGGGTGTAATTGCTGCACTATGTGGTCGGCTTACAGATATCGCGAAATATTTTTTTTTGGTGTGTGCATTTTTTTTGAGCATGAGAGACAGTTTATAGTGACGTGACTTTACGGTATTGGGTCTAGCTGTTCAGGAGACTAAACGCTGGAGACAAGTACAACGGCAGACTAAAGATGGCGGCTTGTTGTCTCAGCTCTCCAAGGGTGATTAAACGGACGACGTGTGGTGGAAGGTGGTGGTAGTAGTAGCGTGGCGTGTTGGTTGGCTACTTGTGGATCGTGCAGCGGGCGTGGTGGTGGCGGGCGTGGATGGTGGTTGTGGTTGGGCGTGGTGGTGTCGTGGCGTGTAGTTGGCGCTTCACATGGACTAGGAGGGCGCGGTGGTTTGGTGCGTAGTTGGAATGGCAACGTGGAGACGAGGGTTCAGTGCCTCCCTCTGCTCCCGGGCGACGGTGACGTGGGCGAGGCCTCTCCTGGCGGCGGCGCTGAAGGTCCTGCCGATACCCAAGTCGGTGGGTTTCATTTGGGGGATGTAACCAGTGTAGCCAGGGAGAGGCGGGTAGTTGGGGTTACTGCGTCCGTCTGTCGGGAGAAAATGGTTCATTGTTTATTATTATTATTATTATTATTATTATTATTATTATTATTATTATTATTATTATTATTATTATTATTATTATTATTATTATTATTATTATTATTATTATTATTATTATTATTATTAACCCTGAGACGAAATAAGAATCCCAATGTTTATTTAATATTAAGGAAATGAAGTTTGTTTAATGTTAATACCAAAGAGATGATAGAGGTTATCATAAATTCAAGGCAATGCAATCTGTCAAAGTGCCCGGCTTCCTACGGGTTGCAGTAATTTTTTTTCCTACAGTATTTTCATTCGATTATATATGTATTTCCCTTTACTAATTACCTGTGCGTATGTATTATTATAGACAGATATACAGGTGATGACAAGTGATTCAGGTGTGACACGTGATAAAGGTGTTGACTGGAGGTACAGGTGTTGACAAGTGATACAGGTGATGACACGAGATACAAGTGATGATTCGTGATACAGGTGATGAAAGGTGATGATGTATGGTACAACTAATAATTCCAAACATAGACGATTTACTGCCACACACACACACACACACACACACACACACACACACACACACACACACACACACACACACACACACACACTACCAATCTTCTGTGCATAGGTGAAGAATATTATTGAGAAAGTCTACGGTCTTTACCACCCATGTTTCACTAACTCTGGTCATGTAACTTACCCTCACACACACACACACACACACACAGTATAATCGATAGACACATTCGCCCCATTGGTTGCTGCTAGTGGTGATGGTCGTCGTTGCAGTAAATCAACTGTGTATAATTCTGAAATCTAAGTCTTAAATGAGAAAACGCGTTCATTGGAAGCATATGTGTCACAGGTATGATGATGTTGAAGGTCATTGGAATGTCCGAATGTCCGAGGAATGAGTTCTTGGGTCTCGGACGGGTGGAATAGCTGGGTAATGTGGGAGTAAATTATTCTGAGGACCAAACGCTCTCCGTGTGTGGTGTGTTAATGGGGCGATGCTTGGGGTTAGCTTAGGTTGGGTTGGGTTGAGTTAGATTAGGTTGAGCTGAGTTTGGTTAGGTTAGGACTGGCAAGGAAGAAACTACGGACCTCTTAGTTAACATAACTCGTTTATTACCTCTGGGACAGCTCGTGGTGATGTTCGGCGAGTGATGTTGTGAGCGTTGTAATAATTGCCTGCTGTACATTTTCCTCATTTTTTTCCTAATTGACCTGGAAAGGATTTTTACCCTTGATTTTTGAATTATTGTTCTGTTCTTTTGTTCACGTTGGAAAGACAAGAGTTCGTATATATTTGTTATTAGTTCTATGTATAACACATAGGATGTTATTCAGTGAGACTCTCTTCAGTATATAAAGAACAAACCTCTGCTGGATCAGGTTATTAACTTATCTTGACGTAAAGGACTCACTTGTACACAACTTATCTCAGAACTCACTCCAGTAAAACTCGTATAGTTATTTACTTGCTTCAGCAATTACTTCAATATTTACTTCAACACTTCAATATATACTTCAACACTCACTTCAATATTTACTTCAACACTTACTTCAATATTTACTTCAGCATTTACTTCAACACTTCAAAACTTACTTCAACACTTACTTCAACACTTACTTACTTCATCACTTACTTCAACACTTACTTCAACACTTACTTACTTCATCACTTTATTTACTGAGTTACTTATATAAACACTCACTTAAATGTTTTGTTCTGTGGGTGGCTGTGGTACAAGATGATCTATGTCACGTTTATTAACACGTATATCAGCCAGACAGTTAAGGGAGATGATATAACATTATTAAACCCGGAGTCGCTGATCTTGAGGGTGTTATTACTGCCTGAGGCCTACGGGTGAAGGATCTTGGAGAAGCACTACACTCACAGCAAACTGGGAATTATTAAAACATTTCTTCAAGTCAAATAAACAAAATATATAATCTGTTTTCGTTTGTGATATGTGTGTGTGGGGGGGTGTTATTACTTTGTTTTGTTTTGGCCTGTTATTTATTTTATTCACTGTGGGAACACCATCGGGGAGACCATGTGTGTCTTCAGAATGGTTCTCCCGGTAGAAAGAAAAACGTATAAACACACACACACACACACACACATAGCAGTATAAAGGGCTGTAGCTTTCCTTCTCTCATTCTAGACTTTGATACCCATTTAAAGTTGGGTTGAATGGGGAGAGCTCAAAGCGTGAACACATGATCCTTTAAACGGAACTCGAGCCTTTTATCCACTCTGCCACTGCACCTCTAATCTACCTAAATGTAACTCGTTTCCCCCTCCTCGACCCCCTCCCCATCCTTGCCTCCCCTGCAAGTGAGTGTTACCGGAGTTCTTGTTAACTAGTTGAATATACTGACATTGCATTCAGAAGCTTAAGTCATCGTCCTCAAGGGGGTTAAGGCCTCTTAAGTCAATGAGTTAGGTGTAAGACGGTAACACCCTGTATGATCCTGAAGGCATTGACATTGTCGTGAATGACTTGGTATATACTTGTCCATAGCTCCAGTGTTTATCTTTGGCACACAGTATATTATTATTATTATTATTATTATTATTATTATTATTATTATTATTATTATTATTATTATTGTTATTGTTATTATTATTATTTTTTTTTTTTCAGTCAATTATTCCACATATTTCGGGATTTTTTCTCTGATTCCACCTGTATTCAACCTTAATATAATACATTAATTTATTGTAATCCCTAAAACCTTTACGAAGCGCCCCCGTTAAATCCACCTATATTTTGTTTTAACGAGTAGTGTTGCAAAAGAGGATCAAGGGATTATATACCTTATCAAACATCAATCATGGTGTTTAATGATTTATAAGTGTCGTTACTTACAGGGTAGTCTCTAACCTATCACCATATTTTTAAATAGTGAGTTTTTTAAATCTTAATCCAGAAAATTTGGGTTAAAAAATATTTGCATGTTTAAAATTTCAGTTTTGATGATAGCGTTTACTGATATCATGTTATCGTGTTTTAGAGTTAATATACTGCATAATGTACTGATACCGATAATCACCATGGAAACCTTATCATGGCTGCCACTTGATATATTTTATAAATGTTTTTTTTTGGTTAATCGTCTTTCTTTACGTCTTCCTTTTTTGTGATATATTTCTTTTCAACAATGATCTCCTGGACAGATGCCGTCTGTTATTTAGTTGGGACACACACACACACACACACACACACACACACACACACACACACACACACACACTTTAGCTTTCATCTGTTCTTTAAACAATAAACTTCTAGACAGACAGAGAGACTGACAGAGACAGATATGTAGAGACACAGACAGACAGACAGAAACAGACACACAGAGACAGATAGACAAAGTCAAACATCCAAACAGACAGACAAACAAACAAAACGAAGAGGAAATCAGCCAACAAATCAATATACAGGAAATTTTTTGAATCCAAATAATAAATTAATTAAAACTTAGAAAATGTATTGAAATTTGAGGGAAAAAAAATATATATGGGTAAGGAAGTAAAGTTACATAGGCGTTGAGAGGCGGAAAATGACCTATACGTGAGTGGCTCATTACCATCATAATGACTCGTAGGCGATAAAACACTCCCATGGGCTAATTACGTTGAAGTCAATTAAAAGTTTTATGTGGTTTTCTGTCTCAGTGTGGTGTGTTAGGTGGTAAACAGGTGTGGTCATTAATAGGTGGTAAACAGGTGTGGTTCATTAATATTAGTTGTTGTGGGGGGATGTGGTAGTGGTGGTGGGGGGGAAGGAGATGATTTTGTATGTTGACATTTTCGTCTACACACACACACACACACACACACACACACACACACACTAATATACAGTACTAGTATACTTGGTGTTTATGTGTCGCCTCGCTCCCGGGTATTTACTCAGCTGTGTTTGTTATCACACACTATAAACTATATTGCTCAAGCTGAAGGTCATGGGAAACATTCATTACTACTACTACTACTCCTTTCCTCAGTGTTTAGTATAGTTTCATCTATTGTATGTTCTCTCGTTTTATTGCATTTCATTTGTTGTTTTAATTACAATGAAGCACTTTAGGCAACACCTCAGCCTCCCTCCAGCCACCTGTGTCTCGACGCCTTCCACACCTGAGGATGGAAAATTCTCTTCACTCCTGTTTGTTATACTGTATTAGGTATTAAGTTATCCCTACGTCTGTTGTATTAGCTACCACGTGAGGTTGTGTGTGTGTGTGTGTGTGTGTGTGTGTGTGTGTGTGTGTGTGTGTGTGTGTGTGTGTGTTAGAAAATGGTAGGTCGTTACATTTATTTTTGTATATTTTTATTTGGGTAACGTATTTTCAGAAGGAACAGCATGAATAAAGTTTGTTATTCTAAAACAGTTCATAACTGGTCTTCACTCCACCAGTTGCTTTAGAAAATATAGAACAATGGTAGTTAGTGCGACTGTTCGTATCTGTATTACAACAGGTGACGAGTCAGCCCGGCGCTGACTGCAGGCTTGGGGGTGTTTAGCCAGGCAGCAGGAGGTGATTAAACCTGAGTGACGTAACGTGCAGCAGAGCCGTGCAGTCTACACCTCTCTTACTTTATTGTGTTCATGTTTAGTATTATGGTACACGCTGAAACACCTTAGTCTTTTAAGTGTCGTAATCATTTATATTAAATAACTAAAACGTAAAAGTGATATAAATATGTAATTTTAAACTAAATCACATTTTGTTCAAGTCTTTGATGTTGACATTATAACGTTATTACTTGGCTTTAACAGCTAAAGATATTGAAGCGTGTAATATAGTTAGTATTCACACTAGTTCATCAGCACTTAAACATTCTGTGAGTTCAAACTAACTGTTTTTATAGGATAGTTACGACTCGAAGTCCTTATCCATACCCAATAAAGAACAAGCACTCAACAATTCATACCTTTATTACTGAAACAATACGAGAAGAAAAAATATCAACAAATACTGAGAACGGTAGAACTATATGACAATGTTTCGGGAAGTAAAAGTTAAGTAAAATTTGATTCCGGTATTGGAGCTGACGAGCGAGCATTGTGTGTAGAGATGGGCTGCGGCGGCGGGGGCTATTGTTCCTTGCTGGGTTCATTGTTGACCTTTAAGGCTTCAGCTATTATAAGATTTT